GCGCCTGCACAATCGTCCGTCGCTCGTATCCAGGATATGAAGAAATGGGTCTTTACTCCGGGATTCCTCAGTTACGCTGGAGTCATTATCGTCACATGCGTCGTCATCGCTCTGTGGCTTGGCCCCAAGTATGGCAAGCGAACCATGATGGTCTACATCACCATCTGTAGTCTAATCGGAGGCCTTAGCGTTGTCGCAACCCAAGGCTTAGGTGCCGCCGTGGTAGCCCAGGCTTCGGGCACCTACGGTGGACAGTTCAAAGAGTGGTTCCTGTATGTGCTGCTTGTCTTTGTCGTAGCCACACTGTTGACAGAAATCATTTATCTCAACGTAAGTCACCCGTGTCTTGGCCCGTGACCACTACTAAGCTCTGCCCAGAAAGCCCTGAACCTGTTCAATGCTGCCCTAGTAACACCAACCTACTATGTCTGCTTCACTTCTGCTACCATTGTCACCTCGGCCGTCTTGTTCCAGGGTTTCAAAGGCACACCGCTGCAGATCGTAACCGTCATCATGGGCTTCCTTCAAATTTGCGCTGGAGTCGTGCTACTGCAACTGTCCAAGTCGGCCAAAGACGTCCCTGACTCGGCCGTCTTCAAAGGCGATCTCGATCAGGTTCGCACTGTTGCCGAGGTGGAAGAACCAGAGTACGAGCCACGTGCTGATACCCTTCGTGGTGGAGCCGCTATTCTCAGGTCGCTATCCAAAGCCCGATCCCACAAGGAGCTTGCCGAGGCTCGCAAGATTCAAGAAGAGCACATGCAACCCATTGGCGAAGGCGAACAGGTGGAATTCGACGGCATCCGTAGGCGCAAGACCGTCATTGACCCCAGCCGACCACCGACCCGGAATACTACTATCGTGCAAACCAAAGCCATCCACCCTCCACTTGGAATGTCTCAGTTTCCGCTTGACGACTCTGACGAAGATAACGACAGTTTCCACCCTGGCTTCTTTCAGCGTTTACGCTCGCGTGGCAAATCTACTAGCAGTCGAGGCAGCTCGCATACACCTGTGCCTGGCATGGACATGCACCCACTACCACCCATCCCCCAAGGTGACGGCATCTCAGAGCATGAATCTGACGGTGCATCCTATAAAAAGAGCATGATGACCCAAGACACGTCCTACAAGTCGCTTGATCCCCACATTCAGTTTGCCACTCCCCCATCTCGTCAGGGTGGCTCCGAGTCCCCATCATTAGCCCCTCCAACAACCAGGCGCCAATTCTCCTTTCAAAACGTCTTTGGACGCAACCGTCCAGACTCAACGGGCGAACCCATGTCATCGTCTAGCAGCAACAAGCTCCGCCCAACCAGCCGCCACAGCCGCAAGAGCAGCCGTGACGCCAGAGGCGGTAACACCACAGCAACCGAAGAAGAGCGTCTCGGTCTCGTAAAAGGCGACTCGTCAAATCTCCTCCCAAGCATCAGCCGCACCAGCGACGAAGACGACGAACTCCATCCCGGACCCAGCCCTCCACGCTATATGGACGACTGGCAACTCCCGCGAACCGAATCTCCAGCCTATGAGCATGAGGTTCCCGTGTTGCAGCCAGTACACTCTCCGACCCAGAGTCATAGTCGGAGCCGCAATCAAAGCCAGAGCCGCACAAGGCCCAGGAGGGCGGATAGCGATGAGCCATATGATGTTGATTTCGAAAAGGGTGGATATACTAGATAATTTTACGCAACACGCAAGTTTTTAGTGCGTTTAGCTAGGATATATACCGGGTTGGAGGGTTTTGGAAAGTTACATGTATGTTGTCGCGTCTACTTTAGCGAAAGATTTTGTTCCTTTTTTTTAACAGCGCGGTTTACGAGGAAGAGAGAGAGTTGGGTACGTCTTCCTATGAGAAAGGGAGCGAGATGACCTAGACGACCTTTGTTTTTGTCACTGTCAATATCGATGTAGCTTAGCATAGCGAGCGAGACGGCCTTTTGTGTTCCTCCCGTGTCTGGGTGGACTGACGGCGGGGTGTTTTGTATATGTACGGGGTTTTTTTTTGGACATTTCCAATACTGTTATGCAATGGATAGGATATATACATGTTTATGTATGTAAGAAGAAAGAGGGGGGATGTGCAAAGCACAAAGCACAAAGGAGATGAGCAAAGGGTCGGTAATATGGCATGCGAAACATGAAATAATTAGGCAACTTTAAAAAAATGGAGAATAATGATTTCAAATTCAAATAACGAAGAAGGAGGTAGTAGAAATACATCAAGGTGAATTTACCGATGGAGCCGAAATTTGATAACGACACAACTCAGACGCGTACTCTATGCATTACCCCCCCCCCTTTCTAAGTGAACTTTCATAAATAACAAAAATAACTACACAACACATTCCATGAAATATGAAATCCACGAAAACAACAATAACAACAAAACGGCACATCACACAATCTCCCCCTCATCCTCCAACCCGCCTTCCTCCTCATCTTCCTCCCAATCCACATCGGCCGCCGCCTCATCCGCCTTCCGCTGGACTTCCTTCAACCCACTCATTTCCTCGACCCAACCCGGTTCGTTTAGCGCTTTCTGCACGAACTCCCAGGGATCCGCAGTGTATGCATCCAGCACCTTGGGACTGCAGGCGGAGCAGCAATCAAAGGGTTTGCCTTCAACTTGAAGGTTCGAGAAGGTGGATAGGTAGCCGCGGATTGTGTGTGGGATGGTGCCGAGAGGGTGTTGGAAAGGTGGGGGGAGGGAAGGGTGAGATGATGATGCTGGTGGGGCTTGATGAGAGGGGGGTGGTGCGAGACCTTTTGCGGGGTGTTGGAGGATGGAGATGAGGAGTTCGACTAGGAGGCTGGATGCGAGAGGTGCGACGCCCGGGCGGGTGACGGTGCATTGTTGGTCGAGGGTTGCGTTGCTGAGGGACTGGTGTGCATGTGTTAGTTTGGGGTTTCATTGATTCGTTTGGAGATGGTTGTTACTTACGTCTGCGGGTGCAACCACGTCGTTGCAAAAGTAGCACCCTAGCTCTACCTCGTTCTCCTGCGTTGCTTTCAGGCCGTGCCGCATGACGACATAGGTGTCGAATCCCAGAGCCGCATTCAGCACAATTTTACCCTGTGCCTTGCCCATGACGGTTGGTAGCCATCTGCTCTCTCTGGTATCCATGAGCAGGAAAATGGCATCGTGTTCAGCAATCAGTTGTTGCAACTTTTCAAATTCCGTCTTAGTTGTTGCGGCATCCGTCATGGGGTGGCCGAGCATGGGAACCTGCATGACATGGCCGTTTGCATCCACCCCTGGGTAGATCTCCTTCAGAGCCTGTGCAGCTCTCTCGGCCTTTTTCGCCCCGCCTTTCAAACAGTCTTGGAAGTTAAATAGGGGTTGTCGCACAGGATTTGAAAAACTGACAGTCGCATTGTCGATAAAGGTAATCTTTCGGACGCCCCATCCCATCAGCGTGCGTGAGACATACGTGCCGAGCGTGCCCGCTCCCAGTAATAGACATTTGCAATTCTTGATGACGTCCAGGTCAATCGAAGGAGCTATGCGCCACTTGATGAGCTTTAGATTGAGGTCTACGGCCTGATCTGCCAACTTGGTCTCGTCCATGTACTCTGATAAGTCGACATTCCGCGAAGTGAGCTTTCCTGTTTCTGTTCGCTCCCATCCTGTGACCTTGGGTAGTGGCGGGGTGCTCTTCTGCTCTAGCATAGGCGATGTAGGCGCGGCGTTAGGGTCTGGGTCTGAGCGCAGCTGGAGAATCAGCGAGTTGGATTGGTCGCGCCGTGTATGCGTATCGCGGTAACAAAGAATCTGGGCATCGTGCAGATTCCATCGGTGTCGGATCAGTATGAGAAGGTTACGCAGCGGCCAGCCTGGGTTTGTCTCGTATGTCGAGGGGTCGGCAAAGCATATGAAGCGGTCCTGGCTGTCCACCTTGTCGAAAAAGCCCTTTTCATAGGCCTCAAGTCTGCCGACACCCCATGTATAGCCAAACTCTTCCAAGGGTGTCACTGGTGTCTTTGGTCTATCTTCACCATCCCCGCCTCCGCGTATGCGCTTGGCGAGGAAGAAACCTCTTTGGCGCACATCAGAACTATACCTCCATGTCTGCACGGCATCAACAAGGTAAGTGGTCTCTCTAGGCTGCAACCTCGTCACCTGACCCATCTGTTTCCAGGGGGGATCAGACTGGATGGCTGGGAAGCCAAAGTGGTAGGTGAACTTGTACTTTTTGAGGTTGGCGAAGATGATTGCTGTAAAAGAGGAGAGGAGTGAGGGGCATTCGTAGATGGAGCCGTCGTGTATAGCATCCCATATCTAGGCATGATCAGTAGACAAATAGGCGGCTGAGAGTGGACATGCATACTGTCTGGGCAGAACGTTCAAGTATGGCAGCGCGATCAAGGCTCTTGTAGTCCTCGATGGTGTTGCAGTTCTTGATGATGCCTTCAGCGCGGCAAAAGGTCGGGGGCGTGCTAACGGGGTGTTAGACGTGTAGTAAGCATCGGCATGATATGGCGTACTCATCCGATGTCAGCGCATTGGGATGGATCTGGATGCGCATGGAGCGCGAGGAGTGCTCAGTAGGGCGAACCTCGTACAGGCCCAGCACTTTGCGCGCCGAGTCGTCGAGCTTGTCATGGTTGATTTTGATATGGGCGAGGGCGGCGTAGAACTGGACATCGACGTCGCTCATCCAAGGCGCGAACTTGAGGGTCGCCATGGTGGGTGATAGTGGGGCTGGCGGGGTGTTGGAGGCGTCGGGAGAGGGCGATGGGTAGAGAGCAGAGAGTTCAGTGTCTATGGCGTGTAGGTCATATGGGTGTATGTATGGAGGTACGTATGTACATAGATGGCCAGAAGCAAGACACAGGGCGAGGCACGTGAAGCTGTCAAGAGAGCGTGATATGTGCTGCTGAGGGCTTCAGGCGGCCATACATGTGCATGTCATGCCCCCGCCAGGCCGTCACATAGGCGGGGCAGCGCTGAGGCGCGTTCCTGCAGCCGCACACGCGCGCTAACCCCCGTCTTCAGCGACACCGACACGTCGAGCTTCTTGTCCCCCGCCTTTCTCCCTTCACAACAATCATCTATCACTATGCTTATTGGAGTGTGTGGAGGCAAGAAACTCGCAAGACTCGCTGGCCAGTTGCTGACAAGGCAGCAGGAATCTGCGCGGGCAAGTCCGAGATAGCTTCGTGCCTCATCGACGAGTACAACTTCACCCGCCTACGCCTGGCAGGCCCTTCTGCAAAGCCCGACAATGACCACTCTGCCTCGGCACAGGGTTTCGTAGATCCTCAGTATACCTTCCAGCATGTCGATTCGCTGCTCGACTTTGTCACGCTGAGATGGAGGGAACGATGGGTCACGACCGACATTTGGGATGCCTCTGTTGTCGATGCCCTTTTGAAAAGGCCTTTCTTTTTGCTTGTCAGTGTCGATGCCCCTGTCAGAGTGCGGTGGCAGCGGTACCATGATCGCTGCACGGCAAGCAACACTGTTCCACCGTCCATCCTCGAATTTGTCGCCCAGAACGATGACCATCAGTTTGCTCCAAACACAGGCCTGAGTGGATTGTCCTACCGAGCACAGCTTAACCTCCTCAACAGCACCACTTCGATAGACTCTCTGCGCGCTGCCATACGCTCCCTCGATCTTACCGACGAAGCCCGCCTGCGTCCAAGTTGGGACCAATATTTCATGCAACTGGCCGACCTGGCAGCGCTGCGGAGCAATTGCATGAAGAGGAGAGTTGGTTGCTGCATAGTTCGGGAGAAGCGTGTGATAAGCACTGGATACAATGGCACGCCACGCGGTATGACCAACTGCAACGAGGGCGGATGTATGTGTGCAACCGACGGACGTTTTGGCTTTATGTGCTGACCACGTCCAGGCCCTCGTTGTAACAATGCTGCAAAGGGAGGCTCTGGCCTATCCACCTGCCTCTGTCTTCATGCTGAAGAAAATGCTCTACTCGAAGCAGGCCGTGACCGTATTGGCGGCAGCGCTATCCTCTACTGCAACACATGTCCCTGTCTGACATGTAGCGTCAAGATCACCCAGGTCGGTATAACTGAGGTCGTATACAATCAAGGCTACTTGGTGGATGACCAGACGGCCAAGATATTCGCCGAGAGTGGGGTCAAGCTGCGGCAATTTTCTCCGCCCACTGGTGGCTTGGTTGACTTGGGAATCGGATTTGCTGGCAACAGATAAGAAGGTGTATCTTCGGATGGACACTAGTTAGTTATGACTGCATCTGGTGGACTATGACGCCATAGCGAGCCTGTGATGTTACTAGAGGCTGGATTGTCGACATTAGAATGTAGGCGTGACGAGGTCGCCTGATAGTTGATGGATGGCATATCTGTGCTGGACGTTTCTTGGAAGTATCACAATATCACAGAGGTGCTAGAGAAGGTCGTTCTATACGGCATAAAGAGATTCTGTTATTTCCGAAGGGGGGGAAGTTTTGAAAAGATGGCATTGTGTTTATCAGGGCCGAACAGCGACTGAGGGCGGGCTGTGCACTAGTGGCGCGGAAGCCTACGGCAGCCGTTGCGCCACATGTCACCTGCCATATGCGTGGCGACCACACGGGAAGCTTGCCGCACCTGCCGTCATCTTGTCATTGCACCGTTCCACTTACTTTGGTAGACACTGGTTGCGCCAGAAATGGTCAGATCGGTAGCATTGCTGTAGTCCTTCAAGTTGAGTACAAATTGACTTTGAAGGCTATCATTCGTTTCCCCGGTAAGTATGCAGTGCTTACCGCCGCCGGCCCTTTTGTTCCCTACTACTGACCCAACGAGCCAGGATTTTAACCATCCGCCCGGGCCTCCATGTCAAAGCAAAACATGTTTCTACGGGAGTCAACAAACCTTATTTGTTAAAATGATGCGCAGATCCACACCCTGCCCCGCCATCTCGTATGTCCCGACCGCAGTCGTTTAGCAAACAGATTTACGAACAGGACTGCGCACGCCTTCTTGTTAGGCTATCTGGCTATTCTAGCAGGTGGGGACCATCATGTCGCACACCGGTGAACAAGCTTGACCAAGCATCGACAAGCATTCCTTGCGAGGCTGATCGCTCCACTTAGTCTGGGCACCAGGAACTGTCACCGCGCACCTTGCATGGATATCCTCCAATCACAACTTCCACCTCTACGGCTCCATCGTACGATTCAGGAAGGTCCACAAGCTCTGCGTTATTGGCAACTGCATCGTGCTAGTACTTATGTGATTGCTTATCCACTGTCAACCTCTGCCCGATGGCACGGCCTACGCGGCCTGCACGGCTGACATACTAGACGGTTTATCACGCGTGGATTTCCATGTTTAATGTATCTCCTTCTCTTCTGGGATAAGTGCCAGGGTGCTTGTCCAGCCGTCATGTCTTGTACTAAGTGCTCAAATACCGCTGTTTGCCTCGATTCACAGTCTCCTGCTTTGGTAGCGACCGCTCGTCTGTCAATCTCAACATGAAGCTCCTTTCGGTCTTCGGTTCATTTCTCTGTGCTTCAGCAGCTCTCGCTGCAAATGCCCCTCGCTTTCTCAGACCTAACAGAGTCCATCGCCCCAATCCAGTCATTGAGAAGCGTGTCCCTGGACAGGACTTTCAGAACCCAGAGATCAACAAGAGAGCTCATACCTTCCTCAACGCAAAGACCCAACGTGAGTACCGATCTTGTTGTCTTATGTATACAGACATATACTCATTGCCTTTAGCCTTTGCTGTCGATGGCAAGAATGTCCCCTTGGCCAATTTCGACTTAGGTGAGAGTTATGCTGGCTTACTACCCATCTCCAACGACAAAAACGAAACGCGCAAGCTTTTTTTCTGGTTCTTTCCATCTACCCAGGCCAAGACACCGGAGGAAATCGTCATCTGGCAAGTCAATTCAAGCTTTTCTCCCATGTCCCAGTCTAACATTTGCGTAGGCTTAATGGTGGCCCTGGATGTAGTTCACTCAGCGGTTTGCTCCAAGAGAACGGCCCGTTCTTGTGGCAAGACGGCACTCTTGCCCCAACTCAGAACCCTTATTCATGGCACAACCTCACCAACATGCTTTGGGTCGAACAGCCTGTTGGTGTCGGCTATTCGGAAGGCGAGCCCGATATCAGCAACGAATACGAACTCAGTGACCAATTCCGCGGCTTTTACAAGAACTTTGTCGATCTCTTTGGTGTCTGGAACTGGAAGACTTATGTTACCGGAGAGTCATATGCTGGCTTTTACGTTCCTTACATTGCTGACAGCTTCATCCGTGCCAATGACAAGAAATACTTCAATCTTGGTGGCATCGCAATCAACGACCCCATCATCGGTACTGATACTGTCCAACAGCAGATCGTCATCCGGCCCTACGTCGAATTCTGGCAAAATGTCTTCTACTTGAACCAGACTTTCTTAGAAAGAGCCCGAAAGCGCGACCTGGAATGCGGTTACACCCAGTATTATGAAAAATACTTCAAATTCCCTCCGCCAAAGGGGCCCTTCCCAAATCTCCCTGACCCATTCGACAGTACGGGTGATGTCCCAATTTGCGACCAGTTCGATAACTACGCCCAAGCCATTGCCGAGGTAAATCCTTGCTTTGACGTCTACCACATCACCGAAACCTGTCCGTTCAAGTCGACGCCGCTCGGTGGAACCAACCCAGGAGATTATGTCGCACCAGGCACGGAAGTCTATTTTGACCGCGCAGATGTCAAGAAGGCTCTTCATGCCAGTCCTAACAGCACATGGATGTTGTGCACAGATAAGAACGTCTTCGCCGGTGCCGGCGTAAACGGCTCAGACACGTCTGTCCCACCCGCCAACAGCGGCGTCCTCCAAAACGTTATTGAAAAAACAAACAACGTCATGATCGGCTCTGGAGACCTCGACATACTTCTCAGCACAAACGGCACCCTCCTCGCCCTTCAAAACATGACTTGGAACGGCGCACAAGGTCTAACCAGATACCCCTCCCAAAACCTCTACGTGCCTTACCACCCCGAATTCAACGGCGGTGCACTAGCTGGCGCTGGATACCAGGGCTTATGGACCAAAGAACGCGGTCTGACCTTCTACACTGCGCGTCTTGCAGGTCATGAGTTGCCAGGTTACACGCCTGGCGTCGGATACCGCATGTTGGAGATTCTGCTCGGTCGCATCTCCGATTTTAGCAGCACCCGCGATTTCACCACCCAAACAGGTAATTTTACTGGTACCACCGATCTCTATTAGTAGACGAGTAGGATACCTAGCATTACCTGTTTTTCGCCGATGATTGAGATTTTTTGTTGTAAATATAAAACTTCTTAGTTGCAAATTATCGCGTTGTTGGCGCCGGATATGTTCGGGTATATCCACTTTTGCTAAACTTACACTATGACACTTGCATTCTTGACAACCTTGCTATGATCCCTACCCGTTGTCTACCTTTTCAGTAATCACCCAATTTGGCGATGTGCCACTAGGCCCAGAGTAGCCTTACCCCTCTTTTGCCTTTTCGCCTCTCCATCCTTGGCAACCCCGCTCAACTAGAGAGGAAAGGATCCGTACCAAAAGCCCTTCTTCCGCGCCTCCCCCCCCTCCCTCCACTCCCTGCAATCAGAAAATGTGAACATAATCTAATCATCTGGAGATACAAACATCGCTCTGATCACCCAGATCCCGGCTCGCTATGTACGGCAGTATAGTGAATACTGCGTTGATTATCACTTTTACGTGAATCCGTTTTGGAAAAGCAACCTACCAAGCATCTTAAAATTGCCTATTTGAGTGATTGCTTCTAGGATACAGGAATGTAGATGACAAAGCGAGAGCATGCTTAGTTATTCATTACTAGAACCACGCATTCCTTCCTACTACATCCCGCCAGCTTCGCCCTCTCACTCCTTTTTTCATCCAAACTGAAATCTTCTGCGCAGAAAGCTATTAGAGGAGCGCCTTGAATCTTTCTCACTGTAGTTTATCGATGAAGAATGGTTTGGATGTCCTTTTGTAACCAACGTTGATGTCTGACCCCACGCATCGCTCATATCGCGACTCCAGTTCACATTCAGAGATGGCGGTATCGCCACGCATAATGAAGCACAATCATGGTGATAGTTTTCTGCATTTTCGACTTTATCAATATCGCTTCGTATCAGGCCCTAGAACCTGGGGTATGCGAGATGGTCATAACATAGACGAAGCTTATACATAGTTACATCGGAAGCATATGAACATACTCATGCTGCGGCATTCGCGAGGGGGCGCTTATAACATGACTTTTCTGGCTCGAACATAGTCTTGGATATGCGTAACTGCAGTCTTCCTGCCCTTAGCCTTTTACCAAAGATCTCTATTCTATCGTGTTTGCCCACCTTCTGGAGATCTGCTCCAATAAAACTATATAGCTTAACGTAGCACCGATTGCTGCTCGCTTTGACATATTCGAATTAGGCCCTCAATGAATCGCTAACAAAAAGAAATCTCGTTTAACAGCAGCGGTGCGTCAAAGTAGGAGAGTATGCATGCCTACAACATCCAACTTTCATTAAGTTATTGAACCAAAAGAGAAAAAAAAATCGAAACTCTCCAGCGGGGAATTGAAATTGAACCCCAGTCTCCCGCGATTTGCCAATTGCTTGACAAGCGGAAATACTGACCACTATGTCACTGCGACATTTGCCATCATTTTTATGGAATTCTCCGTTTTAGGATACCAACGTCCGTTAATTTACCTGCTTTGGCTATTGTAGCCTGAGAACTGTTCCCTGTTCGAAGGTATATTAATCTTGAAGCAGCTCGTGTTTCATCCCCTTCTACATTAGGAATCTCAGTATATTGGTGGCGCTTATCGCCTTACAACAGCATCGCAGCGTTTAACCGTCAACACTAACTGGCCTCTTACTATGAAGATCCACTTTAGAGATCCACTTTTGAGGTTGTACAGGTTGCCTGGTGAGGCGAATTTGCGAGGCAAACCTGCGAGGCAAACTACTAGAGCTAAGCCATGCGCAGCCATAAGCACGGGCTTAAAGACGCTTCTGCCTAGCTTATCAGAAGGTATATAAAACTGTCTCGCCGCTATTTCTCAAGCCATTTAAATAGTGAATTCAAAAACATCTAGTGTTCCAGGCAATTTCTGAATCTATTTTGCAACTCCGCCGCTATGGATGAATTTATTGTTAGCAATGAAGACCCCTTCGACAACTACGATTGGATATCGACGACAAAACAGCAGCCCCTGGTCTACCAATTAAGGTCAACTCTGGCAACAAATGCGAAAAAGCATAATGACGCGAAAGGGAGTTCAGTTGTATTGATGGCATACGACTACGAGAAAAGCATAATCGACGCAGAGAAAGATCACGTTGTCCAGCTCGTACAAGATTGGAAGTTTCCAAAGGCTGTGGTGCAAAGTCTCCTCAAGAGAGGGGTGCCAAGGGGCTTTTATCGACGAACAGACGCTACAAATATCTTTTTTTGGTATCATGTTACTACCTCGCGTCCAAGAAAGGCTATGTCAATGTACGATTTCATGCGGGTTTGCACCGTATACGACACGACTACTTCCTTTTCACGTACCTTGGTATTTTGTCCCCAGAGCATAATCGGCAAAGCGAGAGAAGCATTGCAGACAGCCTGTAATGCTGAACCCAATACCAATACAGAAATTGAGGACTGGGCGATCCCACATCTCTTTATCGCGCATTTGTGCATAAAAGAATGGGAAAATGAGGAAGAGCGAGTTAGACGCTTAGCAAACAACACGGTAATCCCATGTCTTCTGTATCCTAATACATAAATACTAAATATATTAGGCCGTGTGGTTGAACTTTAACGCGAATAAACTTGTGGACAATAAGCCAATAGAGATCATCGACGAACAGCTTCATCGTGTTCACTGGAGTATGTTTTACTCTGGTACTCTAAACAGTGTTATATCCCATTTAAGACAGGAGTTTAACATGTTTCGAGTCTACCGGACATGTCCAACAACAAAGATCTTTGAAATTCTTGATTCGTTTTCAGTACAAATGGATAGCACGCGCTTGAATTTCGAATTCTTTGAGAATTACTTCAATACTGAGCGTCAAAAAGTAAGTCCATTCTAGCTTCCTAGACTATTACTTATATAATTAGTTCCTCGATATGATCACTATTAAAAATGCTGGATATACTCAAAGGAATACCATTGCACTCCGGAGAATAGCAGAAAGTAGCCGTGAAGATGCTCAAGAAATGAAACGGCAGTCTCAGCAAGCTCTCGAATCGTCTAAGCTCATGATGAAGATATCATATTTGTCAATGTTCTACCTTCCTGGTACATTTCTCGCTGTAAGTTCCCTGATAGTGCTATAGATACATACTAATGAGGTACTAATATCTCGGCCCTTCATAGACCCTCTTTAGCACCCCCTTTTTCCAAATAAATCAGGAGCTGCAATTTCCAGCTCTCACCAAGTTGTGGATTTATTTTCTTTTCGCTACCATCCTTACGGCAGTCACTTTTCTAGCATCGACTGTATGGGATATCATTCGAGATTGGTCAAATAATCGAACGGACAAACAGGCAAACCCGGGATTGTTGACGAAGGATGAAGGGGACAATTACATGAATCCTGACAGATCATTGTTAGAACCTGGACCTTCCGCGTTGAACGTTGAAGCATTCAAGAGTCATTCAGCCGAACGCTATTCTCATGTAATTGACAATGAGACCGACGATGATATCGACAATGAGACCGACGATGATATCGATAATGATATCGACGATGAGATCCGAGGTGAGATCGAAGATGAGATCGTAGGTGGCTCTCCGCACCTACATGGGACAGTAGCAACGGAAACCGAAAATAATTGAGCTTTAATGTCGTTGGTTCTAAAGGGTATGCCTAGATTATCATGGATCATTTCGTCCGTAAAGTACGTTACGCAATAGTGAAGTTTCGAGAATGTTCTGCTGTGCCGAAGCAAATGATTAATATTCGCTATTCAACCTCGGAAAACTGACAAACTCCTCCTCCGTGTAAGAGGCTGCGCTCTGGGGAGCAATCGCGAGGTATACAAGAGGTCATATTTAATAAGAAGCCACCTACTCTACTTACGTGGCGTTCATTTACTTATTAGAGAAAGGTCATACTAAAGAGTCTAAGCGTGTTGGCCTGAGCGCCGCTCGGGCGTTGTACGGAATCTAGGTACTCTAGGTAGCACCTAGATTCTGTGGACAACCCGAGATCCCGTCGAGGAGCTATCTAAAGGGCGTTTAGCCCGTCACAACATATTATTTTCAAATCTTAGAAATAAGCGATTTCTCTATTCTTTTTATAATAATTTTATTAGTCACACCGCCTCGGTTAGGGTAGCCTACGTGGCAACCAGTTTTGAACTGGATTTCACGCTTGATACACCAGCCATACGTGTGTTTTCATCGGTGCTCTGAAGCAATCTATTAGCAACTGTTCTTGAGACGTACTATTGCGAACCAAGTTTTGGCATATCGCGCATTCTCTTACGCTTGGACAGCCAAGCGACTTAGACTTCGGGAAAAACACCCAAAGTGACCTTTTTCAAAATCAAGAAAGCCAGTTTAGTAGCATGATTACTTCAGATTCATTAAGAATTACTGCATTAATCCTAGCGGTTGTTTATCTCTATCAAACTCCAACGCAGACATAGGTCTTAGCCCACATGTTCTGGCAATTCGAGCCGATGCCTGAGTTCCATTTCACGAAGTCTGTAAGACTAATCTTGTTGAAGCTAGTGAAATTTCTTGCAGTTGGTTACCATGCCTGGCCGAGTAGGTTGAGGTGTCTGGACACCATTGCCCACAGAAGTCGTTGTGGTAGGCTTAGTTGTGACTGGTGAAGGAGTAGAGCCTCCGATGACACCAACACAAGCATTCACGTTGGCCCACATACCGGAGCAGTCTTGGCCGACTGTAGGGTTCCATTGTACGAATTCATCACGCGTTATCTTCTGATAGCTGATGATCTGGCTGCATACAACGCCCTGGGCAACCCAATGAAACTTGTTGCAGTTACTGACCATGCCTGGCTGAGTTGGTTGGGGCGTCACAACGCCATTACCAGGAGTTGTACTAGTAGCCGGCAGTGTTGAGCTGAATTTTGTAGAAGTAGCAAGCGTCGTCGGCGTTGAGCTCGCAACAGTTGTAGGCGGGGAGTCCACAGGAGGCACGCCAAAGTTTTGCTCGACACAGTACGAGGCGCCATCCACGAAGGTGCAGGATGTTGCTAGTATGGGGTTCTGCTCGCATCATATCAAACATTAGTCGTGCTACAATGCAATAGAGTAAAACAGTGTGCAACTTACGTATCGAACAAGCTGTTCTACGTTAATGCCGTATGAGGGAGCTATCTGGTCGCAGGTATCAGAAGCCTTGGCGACGAACCACCAAGTACAGTCCTTGATTGTGCTGGGATCCGCGGTAGTTGGAGGTGGCTCGAATCGGGCAGTGCCAAGACAGAAGAGCTGAGTGAACAGCGAAGAGAAGAGGAGAAACTTCATTGCAGAAGTGTTGACTGCTGGAAACTCAATTGTCCTTGACCGTGAGTCGTAGACTTTGAGACGGGTCTCATTTTTATATTCTGTCTTCCAAAATCAAGTCGATACAAATCAGGCCATCTGCTAGCTGAAGCCCATACTACTGTCAAAGTCCCTCCTCGGTACGGCACAAAGTGGGGAAATACAACATCTGCACTCAGTTAGGGTTTCCAAGGCCCGGAAAGATTTTGAAATTAAGCCTCAAATTCCGGCAGGAACTATTGTAATTTTGCTTCGGCTCCGGTCATGGTATGCCTTACATGTGCCTTCCGCATTGAGCAGGCCTAGAGCACAACCGCTATTGCTAATAGCGATCTTGGCGTTATGCCGTTATGCCTGTACGACTAGGCAAAAGTCGCGATAACTATAATAAGTGTAATCATTCGGCCCGTGGTCGAAAAGATACACAGCCGCGGCAGGTACATTGTTGGGCCGCCATGAGCGCTTAGGTGGATCACTTGTGGAGATGCAAGCGCTGCGGGTAATAATATGCACGATCTTCCGAAAAGTGGATAAACATCCAGAGAAATTTGCATCATAGTTGGATGGATTCATTCAATACGCTAAAATCGGTGGCGCGGTTCAGATCTTTATTACTCTCCGGGAAGAAGGCCCAGAAAATTAGGCAAGTCGACACAGTTGGAAGTATGTACATATGTAGTATGCATATATGTGAATAATAATTAAGTCAATATTTGAGCTTTTGCGCTGAAATGGCGTGCATGAGTGGTATGAGGTCAAAGTGAGTGCCCTCACAGTTAAGAGGTGACTGCTATCCTAGAGTTCAAATACATACAATGGCATGATATTGGGGTGCGACGGGTTCATCTTTGTCGACACGCTGTGCGTTTCTCTGTAGAACCACTTCTACAATATCTGAAGGACATAGAAAATTCGCATTTAAGACTCGCTGCATTCAATCTTCTCTTCCTCTCCCTCTGCCTCTCCATCCTCCCCTTCCTCCTCTCGTAGAAAGAATGGGAGCTGGCTTAGGTTTTAAACATACGAAGCCATCCTCGTCCAACATCCATCTCTCACGATCAATGAGATCAATCGGCGTCCGCATCTGACCATCCGTCGCAAGTCTGTCGGCGCCTTTCTTCAGGAACAAGCTGAACATATCGGGACTATGGCTGAAGTGGTGAGCGCAGGACCAAGAAGCATGTAACGGTGTTGATCCTGTCTGATCTCGGGCGTTGATTTCGGCACCATTCTCAAGAAGAAAGTGTGTAATCGCGAGCCTTTGGGCTATCTGAGGGGCAAATGGACTTAAGTAGTGGCCAACTAAATGCAAAGCCGTCTCCCCATTTGAAGTGATGGCATTCACATTCACGCCATGCTCAACCACATACTTCACGAGGTCGAGGTTGCCGGCGTGTGCCGCATTATGGAGCACTGTTTGCCCGTCCGAAGTAGTAGCTTGCACATTTGCACCATGTGAAAGGAGGAGTTTGACGAGCTTCTCGTGTCGTTCCGTGTCTGTATCGTTGCGCCTTGGATATGTGGCGAGCAGAAGTGGTGTCCATTGCTTTGTGGTTGTAGTCGCGTCAACCGCGGCCCCTTTCAAGAGAAGAAACTCAGCGACATCCAGGCGCCGGTCTCTACAGGCCATGTGAAGCGGCATAAAGCCATCGTGATCTTTTGCAAAAAGGTCTGCGCCGAATTTGAACAGTAGCTCCGCAAAACAACGATTGCCGGCGAAGTGCAGAGGTGTGTCCAGGTCAGCGTCTTTAGTAGTTGCTTTTGCTCCTGCATTAATGAATGCTTCGGCGAGACTTGTATCGTGTTGCTGCTCAGAAACAAGGCCGAATAGTGGTGTACGGCCATTATCAGGACGCTCCTTCTCCAGTTGCAGTCCACTGCTTAGAAGAAGGAGAGTTTCGTCTTTGGGGGATGCTAGATTATCGTCAAGCACAATCCAGAACACATTCAGTCCTGGTGCTGCCCTATGCTCCGACTGCCACTCCTCTGGCTCCTCCCAATTTACATCCGCACCAGCTGCGATGAGGCTTTGCATGATACGCAATCGCCTCCCGGGTCGACTTCCGTACCATCGACATTGATCAATACCCTCATCCTCTCGCGCTGCGCTTGCAAGGGCAGAACTCAAACAAGACCGGCCTTCTGAGTCCGAATCTGCTAGAAATCTGGAAACATGCACCAAGGCGAGTTCAACTGCCTCATCGTGCCAGCACACTGCGGCTCGATCTAACGCAATACTCCAGCCCTCCAGTTTCGAGACGTCGGAAAAGTCATGCTGTCCCAACTTGTCCGCAATTGTGCGCATACAATCTACGCGATTGAGAGAGGCAGCTAAACGAAGAGCGCTGCACGGTATCTTGATTCCGAAATTGATCAGCGCTTCAAGCGTGTGTCGAGCACCAAGCCATGCGGCTCTGTTGATAGCATCGACATGAAGCATTGAGACTGGTTCAATTTCTTCCTGTATAGTTGCATCTGCTCCGGCAGACAGTAATGTACGAACGGTATCTGCCTGGTCTCCGTGGATCGCGAGTTGAAGCGGTGTAAGGTTGCATTTGCTACGAGCATTAACATCCACACCAGACGCAACTAGAAAGGTGACTTGGGCATCGTCGCCCCTGTAAGCAGCTTTAAACAAGGGCAGATCGAAATCGTGTAGCGGCCACGGCTCAATGACATGTAGATCGTCGCATTCGACAATGTCTTGGTGGGATAATCCAACCATGTTGCTGTGTCTCGATAGCGAAGAGGGGAAAGACTGCCGTGTGGCTGCCAAGCGTGCAGCCGGCAAGAAAAATGGGAAGATTACGGACTTAGCGGTAGCTTCAGGGCTCTGAGAATCCAGCAACCGCCAGATTGTGCCTTGTGCTGTTACTCTCGGAGTGCCCGACAAACGAAAAAAAAGTTTGTTGAGGGATCAGCCAAGCCAAGAGACTACGCCGCAATATATGGAGTGGAAACAGCATCCTACGCTGACTTGATCAGGTCTTACGCGAGGTATGGTATCTGTCGCGCACCCGTACACGGTTTTGCCAAGCCTATTTGGCCTATTTCCTATGTAGGTACGCGTTACCAGCTTGAGCCTAGCGGAAAAGCTTATGGTATATAACTTAAGCTGCTCAGTGCATACACTGGGTGGTGATTCAAATAGTACAAAGATCACCTGAGCCACGTTTCCAACTGCTGTTTTCCTCCAGAGTTATGAGCCTGGCATTTTAAAGCACAGAAATTGATTCTCCCTGCGCATTAAATCAATTGGCTACTGGGCTCAGCCGCTCTAATCTGTTCAGAAACCACACAAAACAACCAAATCCGCATTCCTCACCATGGATCCTATCATCTCGAGCGCTCCCAGCAGCGTACAAGCAACCAGAATCCAGCTCAGGGATTGCGCAAGCTGGAATCACTGGTACACCCAACTATAGTTCAATGCAAAAGCTCACGGCGTATTTCTAGTCTTGGTTCCTAACACCGCCAGGCTCTAGCGCGCTATAGCAGGTGTAAAGAGACTGGCCATAATTCGCGTACATGCAAGAACGACACTCTAGATACTAATGTCTGTCCCTACGTGCCGGGACGCCTGGTGTAACGGGACACTTTTTCTTCTGGACGCCCGGCATGCTCACACGATATATGTAAATTAGCCGGTTTAATGTGCATGTATACACTAGCACTAGTCCTCCTACTACATCCCTATCTAATATTAGAGAACGCGTTGCTAACTATGCTGTCGCTCTTTTCGTTAGTGCTGCTATTATTCCCGATGCTACAAGTAATCAGAACACGACAACATCGAGTATTGCAATTCTTAGAATTAACGCAGTATATTGCACCTAAAAGTTAGCCTGACACGTCCTACGACCCGTTAGCACTTGAGAAGCAGCGCCTACCACTACTAAAGAGTTATAGCGACGCCGTAGCCGCGAAGAGCGACATAGCCGACTCTACTACGCGAGCATGCTACTTCCCTCGGCACCTTTCTTTACGACGTCCTAGAGGCTATCAAACGCAACAACAGCTAGACTATGCTAGTAGAATTGAAAGAAATATTGTGGAAAAAGAGATCCCAATGTGAAGACCCATCTACCAGCCTAAACTCTACTATGCTACTACCTCATTCTTAGCAACACTTACTATACCTCTACCTAACTCTTGGCAACTATACACCCACCTAACACCTATCTATCTTCCAGTCTACTTGAACAGTAGTAGGCGCTACTTTTAAAATACTAATAGATTATAGGGAGTATTAAGCTAACCATTGCGTGCAATATACTGCGTTAATTCTAAGAATTGCAATACTTGCTGTTGTCGTGTTTTATCAACTGTGAGACGAATGACTAGAGAGCGATTCTCCACGCGACAGGGTAGATATACTAGAAGCTGACTAAGGTACACTAACCAACCACAGACTGGGGTCAGAGGCGCCCAGTCCTGACACGAATAGTAGTTACTCCTGGTCAATCTTTAATTCCGTCCTTACACTCCGCCGAGGGTGCTGTCCCCGTCAGCCTCCTAGCTCTCACGGCGCCACAACCCGCCCAAGAAGGCGTCAGTCTCCTCGCCCTCACGGCGCCACAATGCTCTTTTAGCCTCCTCCAGTACTCGACGTGCCAAGCTTGGTGCATCGCTTCTGACTGTGATATGCAGACTTAGTCTTTGTTGAATTTTAATTATTAAAATGCACAAGGAGTAATGTACCCTTAATAGGAGCAGCAAGCGCTGGACAAGCTAAGATAGCTGCTAAAGCTAAGCTAGCAACAGAGACAAACTTCATTTTGGTAAATTCTGTTACTACTTTGGTGTCACTTTGGTGAAGCTTAGTAATATAGATAAACGATAGGCAATCGCTGTTTTGATAAATTCAAACCAAACTACATCTTGTAGGCTACAAACCGAGCATGACTTTATATCTTTCTTCGAGCCCACAATTAGGCCGAGGGAGCTATAATTAGCAATTGCAATATTAATTAATTCTCGATAAGCGATATGAGAATGACAGATACTGCCCCTGAAGAAATGCATTAGCAAAGTTAGTGAGAATATTTGGCCCGTTGTAAATCTTACGATAGTTCCTGTTAGTGCCGTTCCGACCTCATCGGCCCTAAGTCTTATCTTTGTTGATCCTAACTGAATTTTATGACATCCGATGACAAATCCAAGCTGCTCACAGGTCTCTGTGTCTAAAGAAGCAAAGGCGTGGAGTTGCGTCACCTATAACAGCACGTGCAACCTCGCTTGCGTACACTTGTCGCAAGCCGCTCCCTCTAACGTCTGTCCCTGTGTAATAGAAAACCTTGTGTGCTAAAAATCAATAGTCGGATCTCAAGGATCACGATATGCTCTACAACCCTCGTCATCCGATTCGTCATTTTCAGCACACAAGGTTTGGTCAGATAGGGACAGACGTTAGGTTCCCTGAAATCGGATGAAGACTCCAATAACATCATTTACGATGCGACAGCATGATGCGATAGCATGATGCGATAGCACAATCGTTTGCTATATAGTATTGACTAGGTGTGGGGTTAGCTCAAAGGCGTGCTAGAAGTCGTAGTGGTGTTGTCAGATATACTGTGTAAGAGGACGTCAGCGGACCGTAGTACTAGCTAATAAGAGGCACCGGAAGCAAGGAAGTGGACCCACCGCGCGTAATCAGCTAGTGATGGGAGGGGTCTAAGCGAGAGAGAGACTCCTCAATAGTCCGGAGAGACATGATCAATCAGTCATCATCCCATTAAACACCCATCTAATCTGACAGGTATATTGGTGCGGCAACAAGCAAGCAGAACTGCATCGATCAGCTTCTTCAAATGAAAGAGGAAAACGAAGATATGGAACTCGCTAGATCGCAATCTCTTGACGCCGAGGATGAGTGCTTGCTTGACAGCGATGACGAGATCCAACGCCGACAGCAACATAGTATTGTCCGACCAATTTTAGCTCGGCTCGCTACCGCCAGTTTCGTCCTCACGGCTTGTTTAATGGTGGCATTTGCGTACTACCTCGGCTACTCACACGGCAGAGGAATATATCCGCGCCTTCCTACTCATGGTAAGCAGATGTGATGCCTGAAACAACAGCCTCATAAATGCTAAAGCTTCCACCTCGTCGACATAGCTATTACTAAAGATGCTGCTCGGTTACATCTCCAGCTCCTCGACGACGAGTTCGAGGTCCGCAAGCCAGAGAATAGGATATATAAGGGCGAACCGCGCCCGGAGCTTAACAATGCCTGGTCTGACTTACTCCGTGGCTTAAATTTCCGTGTCTCACAGCAAGTTGCAACGGAGGTGGGGTTCGATTCTTTGGAGTTGGGTGACGGCAGCGGCGACAGATGGGCGACTATGGCTGTAAAGCATAATTTACACTGTCTTGTAAGTTTCATGATTGACGCCGTCTATAATTATTTTCCTTGTAACCAAGTGGTACGCAGAAACGAATCCGCGAATCATTGTGGCCAGAGCAGTATCCGGAGAGCTGGGAGCTTGCACGGCCAATCGATGGCAAGATTAATCCACATATGGATCATTGTATCGACAAGTGAGTTAGCCCACGAAATCTCTCGAGGGTCTTTTTTTGCTCTTCGATAGAAGCTAATCGATCTCTTGGACAGCCTCCGGCAAGCTCTTATGTGCAATGCAGACATGACCCTATATCGCTATCATTGGCGGAATGACACTCTCAAACCGAAGCCGACCGTTATGAGCCCTCATATCTGCCTTGACTGGAAGCGGCTGCAAGACTGGCTGGATGTGCACGAGTTTGACATCTACGGTCGCAATATGCTCGTTCATCCAACGCTGGGACGAGTGCACCCGAGTCTGTGGGTGGCAAATCATAATGTATAAAAATGGCGGACGTCTGAAGAAGTATAACTTTTCACCTGCAACCATGGTTTGGTCACTAGGACATTCTTACTCTGGAATCTCCCACTTGCTAAATAGAGCAACCTATGCCTTGGGCCGGAGCATAAATTGGAACGCGTTCGGCCTCTCCATGCTCAGAGCATACATAACACCTCATCCAAGAGCCTTTCGTAAACAGGACCTATCCTTAAGATGGACGACAGCTTACTTAGAGTTGGAGTCGAAGATCGGACTAGTAGAAATCTGCAGTACAGAGCCAAGGTGAGCTCGTTTTAGAAAAGCATGATACCTGTAATGAAAGCCCATCCCACCACCACTAAAGCAGAAATCTTTGATACAAACCAGCAGATGTGGGCCAGGAAATCCAACAATAGTATTGTGAACATCGCGGAACGTTACAAATAGTAGTCGCTAAGAAGAGCGCACGTCCGGACTAGTGATACAAGACCCATGTACATATATTCGACTTACACCGCTGGGGTGTTAGGCATCCAATCCCAATCAGGCTTCCATTTCCCGTCGTTGCTTGCGCCGAAGTTACCCAGGTTGAACGACTTCCACACCATCCTTCATCACCTGATCGGCAGCGACAACATACTTCTAGGCCTTTGGCTCGGCTTTACTCGGTTGAACGTAGGACCCGTGTGGGTAGTGCTACCCAACCTCTACCCAAATGCCAAGGTACCCAACCATACCACTACCCGCGGCGGGTACACTTGACTCATTTGCTAGCCTAATCTGACAATCACCCATCATCCTGAGTAGGCCTTGTACAGTGGACTATCACACATCACATATAGTAGTTAAAGTTGGAGGCGTCTTGGCAGAGCGATGACTTCAGTCTACTAATCGACTCGGTATACAGATACATTGGTTAACCTTCTATTAGTGAATACAATTCCACACCTTAGCTTAACCTATCATAGACAGCTATCTTCAGTAGTAGAAGTACTCATTAACAGCAAAATATATGCAATGTCAAGCGTTCATCCTGGAGCAATATGACTTACATTATTAGATAGGGGTGTGAGTGGAAAAGCAAAAAAGAAACATGCTCTCCAGCGGGGAATTGAACCTAAGGTGGGTGTTAATAAGCGAAGATCTTATGAGATAATCTGGAACTACTTACCCCGGTCTCCCGCGTATTGTCACATGATATGCGGAAATACTGACCACTATATTACGGTGCAATCTGCTATAGTATCCGTTAAACTTTCCATTTTAGGTTACAAATATCTGTTTATTCGTCTTCTTTAAGTTTCTGTTTTGGGCACTGTGGCACGATACGTGATCGAGCTCAAAAGATTAAGGGGAGACCCGCAATCGAGAAGCAAGAGGGAAGCCGAAATCTAATCACTAGTGTTATATCGAGTGAAGAAGGTACCTATCTACTCTGAGAAAAAATCCAATATATGTATATCTATAATCTGATTATATAACACTACACTACAGCACATAGCCTTATAGTATAGTAGCTAGCGCTCTACTCTCTCGTATAGTATTCCTTAGTGTTTTAGAAGCGCTTTGAAGCGGTATTGTAGCGCTTATTTGTGAACACTAATAGGCTTCTACTATTGTATATTCACTTTCCGAGGTTGTATAGCTCGTGACTTAACGATACCATCGCATAATGTGCTGTAGTGCTTGAGGAAGAAGAGGTACAAGAATTCTCGAGCTGCAGGGATGGGCATTAGTGGCGTGTTAAGGCGCTCAGCACGGCTGGGCTTCAAGACAGCATAGTGGCTGTGTCTAACTAGTTTGCTAACGCGAGCAATACGAGCAAGGCAAGCCTATAATTTAGCCCCTATAAATCTAGCATATATATAGAATGAATTATTTTCTCTAACTTTTGTATAGATTATAATAGAAGCTATAAGTCTAGCTCTAGGCGTCGTTACCTTTTAGAAGATATATACATAGATATTTGAGGTTATTACATAATTATCTCTAGAATATCTATAGCGTGAACCTTAGCATACTATAAGAATTCTAAGTCTGCTCTGTATAGCCTATTCAGTCTAAGATAGAAGTTTGAGGACTTGCTAGTGTCGAACAGGGCGTTTAGTCGTTTATTAAATCGCGAAGGATCTTTATGAGCTATGACAATGTGAACATTAATATAAGTTACTGTCTGGTACAGTTGGATGTTTAATTATCTCGAGTCATATTTTCTCGGCGAAGGACGGTCGCTTATCCCGAAAAAGATCACGATTCCAGGCAACGTAGTGACACTAAGGTAGACGCAAAGTAAAGATTAGTTGTACACTTGCTACGCACGCAGGTCCTGACCCGCAAGTCTCAGCATTTAACAAACGAGGCGATCGATCTTCAAACTAAAATGCCACATCTTTCGTCTAATCCAATCCAGTAAGCGCAACGGATGAGCCCTTGAGTTCTTCTATCCAGTCCTCAATCAGAACTAAAGCAGCTTCGAACTCGTCATCGCCTGACGGTGCAAGTTGCTGCAGTGCCAGGTACGAGCGCTCAGCTACACCAACCGTGAACTCTCTGAAATGCCGGAAGAAGTCTCTGATCCACACATCCCAATAGCCCACCAAATTGATTGTCTCGTTGGGGTTGTCCGAGTTCCACTGGTTCTGGTACAGTTGGAATTCGCTGCGTAGATTGTTCAGAACGCCAATCATGTTTCGATTGACCCGTGGAACATTGAGGTAATTGAACACGGCCTTTGCATATCGGAAGGAGGTTACGGCCTCCATGATGTTGGCTTCATTGTTGTTGAAATCCGTGGCGAAAGCATCCACATCAAAGAACCTGGCAAACCGCCACAGCTACTTATGAATTAGCCTGGTATCTATAGATTACAGAGAAGAGAAAGACATGGACTTACCCTTGACTTCATACTGTTGAGATCGCGCTCCAAAAGAACGAAGTAACCTCTGTTGGACTTACTGCCCATGGTAATGGGCACCCTCTCCGCCATTGTTCGACTACTCTCGCCCCCAGCAAGGTCAGAGACGGTCTCGGGCAAGTAGTTTCGTTGTCTCCAATGTCTTATGAAGAAGTTCCCGTTGATTGCTTCTAGCGCGGGCGTGTCCCCTGAGGGAAGCTCTCCCGCCGCCGCCTGTTCCAAGAAAGTAGGGATCATGTTCATCTCTGCAATATGTTCCGCTGGAGGCATGTTGGAAGGATACGATAGACCAGAGGATCGTTGAACTTACTCGCAAAGTGTAAGCTATTTTCATCAACGTCCGCTTTCTCTGGTACAATATGTGAGACAATTGTAGCATCATGACAATCATCGTAATCAGCAAGTGCATATGCGTTGTTGTAATTCTCATCGCCTCCAGGATAGGCGTCCCAACCACCAGCGGGAACGTGAGGCGCATCATCATATTCGATCGCCCGCTTTTTGCCCTTGTCGTTGCCCGGTTCAGGGACTTCAAATTTCCTTTTCTTTGAACGGGGAACAAGATGGGCGCGAGCGTCCTTGTGATGGAACGCAGCATGACTATGACCAGCTGAGTGCACTCCTTCCTTCTCTTTATACACAGAATTAGATACTTCGCTCGACAGTATACCCCTCTTCTCTTCACTACCGCGGTACTGAGTGTAGGGAAGGTCCTCGTCGTCGGAACAGTCTAAGTTTTTTGTGCCACACAAGATGAGTCCACAGGTTGGTGCGCTTCCAGCGGGACAGCTGAGCATGTTCTTAAAATGTGCTAATGTCGCGTCGCCATCATATTCAATGTAGTGCGGGTTTGGACCTTTACTAGGATCTTTGTCGTCGCCCGATGATCCCGATGCAACCTGTTTGGCGCCCAATCTGTCTCCCAATAGGACTGTAGTAGAAGAGTCGGGGTTCCATGCAGAAATGATTTCGCTGCCACCACTGGCGTAGATGAGACCTGCGGAAGCCTTGTCCGATCCTACGGACACTGTGTATTTGTTATTCTCTACTTGCAGTGCAGTGTATGTGTCTGTAGTGCCGGTGATGTTGACGCCGAGAAACTCACCCGAGTTTCCATACGTGTTAAAGACAATTTCGAGCCCTGTTTGGGTTGTGGTGCGAATCTTCAAGCCTCCGGAGGACGCGCTTTTGATCGCGCCCTTGAAGGGATCCCCCTTGGGACTCATCACCCCGTACCCATAAGGATTCCCAAGACCTGCTGATGGGTACCCTTGAGAGATTGATCCTGCAGTTGAAGCCTGATACGAAATCGTGAAGTTGCCTTCCAAGTCGATCTCTCCAGTCACGCCAACGTCGGCATTGAACCACGGTCGAAAATGGCCGATTCCAGGATGTCTGAACTCATACATACTTAGAGCAGTATGTTGGAGTGGAAATTCAATGTTGTTATCCGAGGAAATATCTCCTCTGGCCGAAATGTCGTAGTCAAGACCCACTTTGGTGTTGGCATCGAAGAATGTGTATGCCTCGCTCACTCTCCATGGAGAAATCATTCCGATAAGCGTGAAACCCCACTTCGCTTCGATTTTCGATGCCACATTTGCTTTGATATCGAGGTATCCGTCCTTACCAGCGGAGCATTTTTTCCTGTTCGCATAAACTTCTCTAGAATATGTCTGTTCGAGCACGCGAACGCCTTCCTGAGACCGTCTTATGCTGTCGAATCTGGTTTTCCACCAATTGTCGTTACCCAAGGCGGAAGGTGGTGGCAGGGATATATAAACGTGATTTTAGTCATCTCCGGACTTGGTTCTACGCCTTATCTAACCGTGTTGTTCTTAACCATGTACATTAACCACCTTGAAGCGCAACAACAAACGATGCGACATGGCCTCGCTAAGCAGTTGGGAGAAGCACGATATTCTGCGCTGTGAGCGATTTCTGAAAAGAATTGAAGGCTGGGCTGACCCCACCTGGGGTTTTTATGTCTATGGCACCTACACACGCCCACAAACGCAAAAGGATCTAGACAAGGGGAATGATGAGGCCAAACCCCAGGAGATATCGGGTAAGTCATATTAATTCGATCTTAGAGATAGATGCTTAATGGCTGTGTATCTAGTAGACAGCGAACACTTCTAGGCCGTGCTGAACAAGCTGCACGCCCACGCTGCCGATACCCTGCGCTACGAGCAACCAGAGCCGTATAATCAACATTTGATTGACACTTTGCGCTTACAACCCGCTGCGTACCTTCCTGGCGCTTCGCTCGCTGACGTCTGTGACCATTTCCGCCAGAACGTAGGCAGTTTTCTTGGCGCTGGAGGCGAAGTCATAGAGGAGGGTTACAACTGTGGTCCCAAGACTGACTGGTGTCTGATTGTAGACGATGAATCACTCGATAGCATCGAAAATGGGCCTGAACCAATCGGACCAACGCCGCCAGACGATGCGATACCCTGGACTTTAAAGCGTAACGCCAACAAGGTGTTTGTTAAGCTGCTTAGTAAGGACGAGTTTACAACGAAAGAGCCCAAAGTTCTTGTTGCGCAGGGTCGGGGCGGGACTGGTCAGAGGGTTGAGTGGCATGGCTGGTGCAAATTCTCACCCGTGTATCTAATGCCTGTCTTCAATGAGACGGACAACGGAGATATCGAGACTTATTTTAAGCACCCCGATAAGCTTATCACGATCTAGCGAGTTATATTTTGTAGTTATCTAGCACCGAATCACTATATAGCAGGCCATGATTGTGAGGCATCATGCATTAGAATAAGTCGGGTCGTATGGTTGTGCCACTGGTTTAATATTATTCTGGTTCTTGCAAGGCTTTGCTGCTAATGACCTGGCTTATAGTATTCTGTTAAATGTAGATAGTCTTTTTTTTGTAGCCTCGTCTCGTTGGACCACTGCAGGAAGTGCAATGGCTCGATCTTGTTATTTAACACACGCATGCTGAACCAAAAATAGAGATTCGCGTAGCTCGAAACCTGTAGTATCAGCTAAAGGGCTTGGAATTGGACGGCAACCCCGAGTGTTCAATTTTTGCGCACCGTTACGTAATGTCAGTCCCTACCACCCGATTCTCAAATGAGGACGATATGTCTCTCGTAAACAAATGTAAAGCCTTTATCGAGACATACACTATGAGTCAGTGGGACTGGTGGCCTCTGCAACCTCGAGTTCCCGGCTTGACTCCCGGTCATCTACGACTTGAATGGGAAGTGAGTTGCCTTTTTCCCTTCTTGTATAACTATATATGCTAAAAAAATACAAAGTTTTGCGGCGAGACACTGTACGAAACGATATCTCTCCAGGAGTCAACATTAATACAGCAAACTTTGGATGCAATGAACGAGCATCCCCCTAAGTGTTATTGCTGCAAAGTGCGACCGGTGCAATTGAGTTGGACCACAATATTTGAACACATATATCATATTATCTGGAAGGCTTTGCCAATCAAAGCAACGAGTCCTTCGCCAACTGCACTTACTCAACTATCAAAAGCCAATCTGCGCTACACTCCAACCAGAAACACTTGCGCCAATATTTCACCCTCGTTACCACACGGAAAGCAGCCACTACCACCTCAAGGTAGCCCCCCAAATGGCAATGTCAATACCCAGACACACATCAATGCTATAAACAGCCAAACTCCAGTCGATTCTCTCTAGTTTGTGTTCAGCATCAAGGACATGTGGGGATTTCATAACATCGAGAACATTGAGAACCATTCGCAATTGAGCGATCCTATGTTCTTTGAAGAATTGAAAAAGAGACACAAAAGCCACCGTTGGTGCTTTCAACATTGGTTATCGCCATACAGGTTTCGATACTGCCGATTCGTCCAGGTGAGTACAAATTGAGGAAGTGATATTGCCTCAACCTAACTCTATCAGTTTGAAGAAATCCTTGATGAGCATGTTTCCTGTGTTGGAGAAGCACTTCCAGATCATCATGGTTATACCACGGACTACGAGTATGATCCGCGACCGCCAACTGCGAAAATGCCTCTTATCGACCCTACCCACTTTTCAGTTCTTCTTCGCGCGTGTAATACTATCTGCTACTCGTCTTTTCTACCTGTATACGTTCACAAGTGCCAACACATCCCGGCTGACCGTCGATTTCTCACGCGTATTCCTCAGAAGAAAGGAACATACGACGCATCCTCGCGTGTACATGCGCCCAGTCTCAACTACATTAATCGAGTTGCGTTTGGCGTTGAAGCGGGATATTTTCCATCCTTAGCTTTCTTTCTTGCCTACCATGTTTTTCTAATTCTATCGGGCTTCAGCTTTTGGATTTATTGGATGGCATATCTTCCTGAGGACTTACAGAATGCTTCAATACCCCTCTTCACTATCATCATGCTTATCGGAACGTTCTGGGGTCTATTTGGGAAACGAATAAGTATTTCTTAGGGCGACCTTTCTCCTCTTTGCTACATGATCGCGAGCTCTTTAGTGGATTCTATAGATTGAAAGATGTATTTAATGTTCGTCCCTACGTGCTGGGATGCACAGTGTAACGGGACGCATTCGCACTTCAGACCTTCGCTACCTCCTACACACAAGTATACAGACTTGTGGGCGATATGATAATGTTCTTCAACCGCTTCTCTGTTATTGCGCTAGCCTCCGGCAAGGACTATAGCAATGTTAGCCTTGCTGTCAACCATTTTGTCAACGTCGGCAATCGACTCCTTCATCAGTACCCCCTTGTCCATTCGCGACCACAAGAACCTCTGCCGTAACTGGTGACTTTATGGAAAGTCCAGCGAAGAAAGATTGCATTCTTTTTGGACAAAAGGCTTCTCCAATTCAAGAAGGATGGTGCCTGAAAATTTCGCCGGTCAAGAGCAAAGATGGCGAATTGCGTTTCAGTGTGGCCTTTCGAGGCCACGGTATCGCCATCGTACCTACAAAGCAGTAGGCGCTGCTCCTGGGTGTTAGGTAATTTGAGAGCGCCTGAAGATGACCTTTATGTGCAACAAACTACCTCAATTCCACAAAGTGAAATTCTCGCTGTTTTCGTGTTTCACAGACCACTTATGGTCGCTTCTAGAAGATTTCAAGGATTTGAGAATTGTAAAATACATTGGTTAACTACAGAAAAGTAATCTTCCTAGCTGTGCGTACAAATAATAAACTTTAGCTAGCGGACGACTCGGAAACTCTACTCCGCCGGTCCTTTACACATGGGCACTACTATACTAAACCGAAAAGCCCTGCTTTGCTCATTTCCATACCTCAAGACCTTGGTCCCTCGCTTAGTCCCAGCGCATGCGGGTCCCGCACAAAAAACCAGTGCACGGACACTCGAATCAGCCGCTTACCTCCCGTCAAACCACAGAAGACCTTGGTATGGTAAGAAAAAGAATCAAAAAAGGATGAGCTCTCCAGCGGGGAATTGAACCCCGGTCTCCCGCGGTCTGTCAATTGCTTGACAAGCGGAAATACTGACCACTATGTAACTGTGCTGTTTGCCATCAAATCCGTTAAATTTTCCGTTTTAGGTTACGAATATCTGTTAATTCTTCTGCTTTGGGTTACAGTAATCCGATATTAGGTTTCTATTTTAGGAACATTAGTCTTACAGGAATAGCTAATGTCTCACCCCCTTGTACGTTGAGTTCTTTAGTATATTGGTGGCGCTTATCGCTTTAAAGCAGCATCGCAGCGCTTGATCGTTAGCACTGACTGGCTGCTATTATAGACCCACTTTTTGAGGTCATATGGCTTGTGACTTCATCCAATCATGTCATAAGCTCATTTTGTCCTCACCTGCTGGGCTATCGGAGCTAGTGTAGCCACATATGCTCACTCTTACGGTCAACCACACGGTCAACTCCCCGATCATCTACACGATACCAGCGAAACGGTCGCGCAATCGGATAGGATTCCAAAACGTCGAGTCAGGATGGAAACAGCTTATGAATACGTTCAACGACATTGAGTTATCGCAACGCTTCACAAAAGGCCACATCAAGCGCATTGAGAAAGTCACGGCAGATGAGAAGACAGTGAGGTCAGGGGCTTCTCTCAAACAACACAAATTTCTGAGAAGAGTATTAGCTATCAACTCTGACTGTTATAAGTTATGTGTTGTCGCTTTCTCGCAGAATCAAATCAATTTCACGAAAGCAGCTATACTTAACGGATTGGTTGAAAGAATTAGGGAACGGCGCGATGACATAAACATTTCTCCTATTCCATCGCTTTTGGATTTTTCGGAAGACCCCCAAGCGAACAACCAGCTATCAAAAAGTCCGCCAGAACATTGGGCCGAGTTGAAATACGCCGAAAGAGCCGGGTTTGAAAAGGTTTTTGGAAAATACCTACTAGATAGGATCAAGAACACGGATATGAGTAACAACTGGAAAGCAGTCGTAATGTCCCTGCCGAGGTGGCCAGCTGATTATTCTGAGCCTTGTTTTATGTCATTGGACCTTCGCGAAGAAAGTGTTAAAGAGGTCGCGATGGCATTGTTCAAGGTAGAAGCTGACTCTGCTGTAACGACTGTAAACCTGCTATGCTGGTGCGCAAAACCAAAAGTGAGATTGTAGCGTTGCTCACGCTCTCGAACGGTCGGGTAGTCAACCAGCCGGTGCCCCGCGTTATCATGTGACGAGCTCTCTTGTCATACCTTTGACCATTTTGTTTTCGCGATAGTTGTTGCATTATATGATACGCACGAGAGCATGTGGCTAGAGGCGTAGCATGTAGGAGATCGTGTGATGAGACGTACAGAAGATCGTGTACTGAAACGTGCCTAGAATCCGTGCAGTATAGAGTATACACTAAAACGTGCGAAAAATCAGGTGAAAAATCAGGCGAAAAAACGTGCGAAAAACCGCGCACCAGAACGTGTAGTAGAGCATGCACTAAAACGTGTACTAGAACATGTACAGGAGCGCGCCCTGGTGCACGTTGAGGCATGTACATCACAAAGCTTAATGCAGAAGCATGCCTGTGAATCGTTTGGGCCTGCAAGCCACATCATGTTTGCATGCAGCCATAAAGTTGGAGATGCGGCGGCATAGGACATGGGCGATTCAGAAATACAAAGTATGACGCTCACCTGCCGCTTCTAGTATTCTACCTTCCATTATCCTTCTTCTACTTTTTAATACCTTGAGATACACTATTTTTTCACAACTCTGGGATTCCTTTTCTCCCTACATCTTGATCACTGACTGGTACCCTAACCACACAAGAAGTTTCAAAGAAGGTCAGTGATCTTCAAATGCCGAGAGAACTACTAATAACCAGTCTTGATAGATCCAGATCCGCTTGTCACAGCCATGAGTTTATGGTTCAGTTTCACGGCCCTCTGTTACTTTCGTGCTCCCAACGACAAAATCTACCAAACCTTGGCTTAGGCGTGCGAGCGCAGCTGGGTGCCATGAGTGGGGAAACGGAATTACGTACAAAGCGGTGCTATATCATGAGTTGCAGTCCCTGGGCTAAGAAGCGGTGAGGAATATAGATGGTGTATGACCGTCTACCGGTCAGCTGGAGGACCTCTCCAGTCCCTGCCACAAGCGTGCTGGCTTTATATAGACGAGGCTGAAATACGGGTGTCAGAACTTTCTATAAGATACTGTGACTGGAGGAAAATTTTACAGATCACGTCCACTTCTCTACAATACTTTACAACTTGCAAGTCTTAATAGCCAATCACCGCGATGCCAAGTTACGTCATAACGCTCGCTTCTGGGTCTGACCCTGCCACGTCATTCATCACGCCCAAAAACACCACCAAGAGTCGCAAGCACGCATCAAAAGCAAGACAGATAATGGAGTCGATCGTTGAGATAAGCGAATCCACCGAGATCACAAGTTTAGTGTTGAATCTGAAGGACGATGTAATACGGCGATTCGCAGGAGGTGTCGTTATTCCCTCCGGCAGATCTCATGTGACTTTCAACATCGACGAGCACAAGGATATTACCACACATATGATGCAAAGATATGGCAAGGTAGGAAGTGACATTCATGTAATTCGACGTTGCTTACAATTTCAGGATACATATTCACATGCTTTCGGTGCTGTCTTCGGGCCCGGTACCACTGTTCTTCGTGGTCCATATTCTTATGCGATCGTGGTTGTCGCATCACTTGAGGGGGCCATGTATAAGGTCAATGAACAAGACCCAAAATCCTGCAACCTAATACATGCTCAGCGAGTTGAATGTACTATCCAGGTAGCATCTGGGCAGCTCATGGCTATGGTGTTCGCTTGGAGGTCGTAGACGGACCGATATTCGGTGCATGGAATGCTATCAATTTCTTCTTTCGACCAAATCTGATTGAATGCCGTTGAAGTATCTCCCAAGAAATCCGTATTATGAGGCACAACGTACGAAATTCGGTCATCATACATCGTTGGCGGTATCAATGGTTGAGGTTGTGCCTGTCGGTGTCTTTTCTTCATGGCTAAGTATTGTAAGTTTTATTCTTGTACATTGCATGGAAACTACAGCACTTACGATACTTTTCATTCTCTTCTTTTTCGATCACAGTATACATTTCTTCCGCTTCCCGCTTCTTTCCAGTATGGTCTGGGCTTCGCTGAAGACGCTGGAGAACTTTATCCTTAGCTAAGTATTTTTCGACTTGATTCCTTACCTCGGCTCCAGTATTGGAATGCCGAGAACATTTCTTGTATAAAGCCATGAAATTTTCAAAACTGCAAGGGCCTATCTCGGCGTAGGCGAGCAAGAAGAGAAAATCAAGCTGCTCTGATGGCAACATGGCGATATCGAACGAGGTGTTGGCATGTTGAACAGCCTCCCTTGCAGGTCTAGAGAGATGCTGCTTTGAACAGTTCCTCTGGGTATTCTTGTACGCATGCTCCCAAGATGATAAGGGCTTCCTGATCCTGTTCCAGAGTTGCCATGCACCGGTCTGCCTGACAGTGTTCAAAGCTATATTCTGAATTGTCTTCACATCCGCTGCGGTACGATGTGCATCAGAGATTGAACTGAGTTTGGATTTGATAGCGATGCAACTTTCGGAAGGAATGTCGGGTGCCGCAAGAACAATATTGATAGCCCATGTTAACATGGACTGGTCACTTCTGGAAAAGTCAAAGTTCATGCTAGGAGATGCCGACGTCATCGGAAAGATGAACAAGCCACCGCCGAGGTAGGGTAACGTGACCCAAATGAATTGGAAGATTTGTCAAATGGATGGGTCAGGCATGAGCGTACTGGATGTCTGCGTGGCCGGCCTGGGAGGATACGAGCCGAAGGGGCGCAACCGACAGCCAAGGGGAGTCGCCCCATGTTATGTGCTGAGGACTGACTGCAGAAAAGTCGACAAGGAAAAGGGTCGGCCAGCTACAACAAGCTAGGAGGTAAGGGAAGCATTCCAATTGGTCGTTGAGGGGCGCTTGGCCGCTTTGAATGGAAGCGCCCGCCCTGTCCTGGCTGACCCTCTTTGCTGACCAGGGTATCTCAGTCCTATGTGACAGTCGCCCTACCCCTGTCATGGCTGAATCTGAGCCAGAGGGCGTCTTTGCAGATGCCGTGCGCAGTCTGGGCTGATCGTTCATGAACGCGTTATGCATAGATGCGACACCTCTCTTTCGGTTAGCTGCAATGTACCACCATCACAGAGCTCGTTACGGTGGAGATTCACAAACCGTCTTATCTCAAATAAATAAGATGGCAGCCACCTTGCGGTCTCTCTTCAACATCCATTCTTGTCACAATCATGTCGACCGCCATTATCACTTTTAGTGTCTTTGTTAGTATCATTAGAGTACCTCAAGCTGTTTGCCTTGCAATTAAAGCCCCTGTATCAAGTCCTATCTGCCTTGCGATTGTGGCGTTAGTCCTTCCGATCTTCCCCTGCATAGCATCCATCATACTCGCTACTCAGCGACTCACCGCATTCGCCTTGCAGGTGCATGTCTTTACCTTTGTTAGCCTTGCATGCCTTGACTGGGTAGGTAAGGCAAATTCTAGTATTTGGTATGCCTAACCAGTTCTAGCTACTTATCGACAGATTTTTCCTCAGAACCAGCGGCCAACACGAGTGTTCTGAGCTGCCTCGTTGCACGACCTTGTGCCTAGGGCTTTGCCGCCTTGGTGTAGCTATGGCATACGTCATCAGCGGAGGTCTAGATCTGTATTTCCGCAACCCGTACGCCAATCTTACCACTTTTCTTCTATTCTCCGGTTCATACATATACCTTTCGATCAGGGCTAGGCATATGTCAGAATCGCTACCTTGGCTGCCTGGTTATTACATTGTATTCACAGCGATCTTGATTATGGCTTCTATCGCATTGATGGTGGTCGTAATTTTTCCACAGAAGGGTGTAGCATCTATTGCCAGCTGGCTGCCTTTGGTAAGATCACCGACTGTCCGAAGTAGACCGTACTGACACACCAGGCGTTTTGTTTGATTCACCCAAGAACAATTCATAGCTTCCAAGCCACGATAAAGAACACGCACGAGACGATGAAATACATATACCAGGTCATTCAGCGTAGAACACCAATACCGGAATCGCGTTCACCGTATGATTGGAGAGGTAACACGCAAGCTCAAGAAATTAGATGGGAGGGAAGAGAGGAGATTATACAACAGCTGTGTATTCTCTTCGATTATAAGAGTGACAAGAGAACCTGTAACATAGTTTTCATAACTATGAAAGAGGGAGACAGGCTGTTGTTCAGCAAGAGTGTGGAGTACTCAGAAATTCTTAAATTTCCGTCCACAAAAGACTTTCTAACTGCTTGTACCGACGGCACCATAGACGACTCTACGCTCAGGAGTCGTATTCAGAATTGGAATTCTGGAAACTTCAAGGTTGCTGATTTCTCTAAGCTTTTAGTAAGTGAAGGTGAAAGTCTATCCAGATAAAGCTAACATTCTAAGATTGAGTTGAAATGCCTCTACAATAGAATCGTAGCACCTGTGACGCCGGTAAGTAGCGTATAGGTTGCAAGGCTCATCATTGTTGTATATACGTACTCTTTCATTTCTCCATGCTATCAAACCAGATATTCAACCTGTTTTAGATGCAATAAGTCCCTTCTTGTGACAAAATAGCCTTTGAAAACATGCGAGCTGATAATCACGGCGACTGGGCTACCTAAAGAGTGCCATTAACGCGTGTTACTACTGAAAAAGGCTCTAGCCCTTTGCTTCAATCGATAGGAACCAATACTTTGTGATGGTAGACTGGGATTCGCCTCCTCGATGGCAGAGATGGGCTATGCACGTCTCCTCACCATGCAGTTGCTGAAGCACAGATGGAAAAAGCCCTGGGCAGGGAAGGCAACGAGGCAATAGAAGGACCGGGTAATAGAGATCTACACCAGGAAGGCATGCTATAAGTACCCCTTCATCTTTCCTTTTTCTCAGCAGCTGCGGCCACCGCCTCCCCCTCTACCAGCTCCTTTTTCTCTATCTCCTCAGTTTATGCCACGGTTCCCTCCTCATTCTCGTTATGAAATGCCTCCTCATCGTCATGCGATGCCTCCTTATCCTTCTCGTACAATGCCGTCTCTGTCTCTTCATACTATGCCGCCTCCTCCTGTTTCAACCGCTCCTTCTCCGACTCCTCTATTACCCACTACTCCCACCATACTGCCGCCGCCTCTTGATCAAGCATTTAAACACGACGTCGACCGCGCTGTCAGCCGCACTATTCTTCAAGCTATGCACCGCACGATTAACGTCGTTGTTGACAACATACACGATTTATACACTGGCCGACTAGATTGGAGCGAGCATGAGACTGTCCATCTTACTTCGGCCCAGCATATAATGCTTTCAAGATTGTTCCCTTCCCAATGGAATGGTTCCAACCCCATTATTATGGACATACTGGATTTTGCTGGCCGCCTTTGTTTCACAAGGTATTGCGGGAATAGCTCGGCTTCCAAGTTCGCGGAGAACATTTTGCGCGTTACCCAAGACATGGCTAGTGCGACCGAGGAAGAAAGCGCTTTGTACTGGAATCATAAGATCATTCTACTTTTGAACAAGCATGTTCAGGTCGAACTAGATGGGGAGTCTTATTCTGGAATACTTATGGGTGCGACCACTCTCAAAGCCCCAGATGGACCTCCATTGCCGTTCGGTGTTTACAGGATTCAACTTTCCAAATCAACGGAGTTATTTCTCGACTTGCAAAAGCTCGGAAATGAAGATGCTCGTATTTTGGAACTGAGCGAGGAAAAGAATGAGAATGGAATCTGAAGGGGTATGATGTTTTTGATTGTTGCCCTATACAATCTTCATTGCCCTGCCATCCGTACTAGCGAAGTGGGGCGACTTTCTCCTTTTCTTTCGCGTCTTCACCCTCTCCCAACTTCATCGCTTCTGCTTCTCTCTGCTCCCTCGCTTGTTTGTATATGCGCGCTCTTGTATTATTTATTAGTTCTTTCCATGTATGTTGTAGTGCTGTACGTACAATGCAGGCCACTGTTCGTCATGAAAACTTGCTCCTAGTTGAATTTGATCGCTCAAGAGCGACAAGCAAACAGGAAAGTCATACCAATCCCTGTGATTATCGGCCAGCCACTGACAAGCTGTGAATTCCTTTCTTTTGATATTTCGCTGCCCAATAATACAGTGTCGGAACTGGTTCGACAAGGCATCATCTAAGAGTGAGGGCTCTTGCCGTAGGGCAGACTGCTGGAATTTAGTGCTTTTCATGTGAATTTTAGGTTAATTGCCAACGTACTAGGAATTCTAATAGTATTTCAGAAAACAGCCGTGTTACACATCCCAGTTCCTTCTCATCCATCTTTCCCTTGTTTTTAAGTGTGTCGATCTGGATCCATTTCCCAGTTCTATTCTCAATCAAATACCAGCCAGACTCGGAATCCTGAACCTGAACGGATACTCCACCCCCTGGACGAATGACAGTGCGGGGCCTAAACGCAGTGATGAATTCTCGTATGCCTAAAATCCAGTTGCTTGACATTGCGATGACCTGCGATAAACAGGATTTTGGTTTGCGGTAGTATAGATATATAGCAAAGCAGCATCAAAGATTTCAGTCACACGCCCGCGGGGTGTCTCGGCCTCTAGAAAATGGCAGAAGCAACCCCCAGATGCATATAGGGTTGTGCAGAAAAGCGTCATTGGTTGATTTCCCCGCGCAGACACGGGGCCGTGCTCATCGTGCCCCTTCTTCTCTCACCCGTCATGCACCACTTCGCGCTACTCGCCTCTCGCTCCCGCTGCCCGCTCACCATTCTTCGCCGCTCACCCTCCCCCCCTCCCTTTCCAACCTAGTCCTGCAACCCATGAAATATTAATAGACAGAGACGGCGCTTAGAGAGCTAAGGTCAAGGATAGAAAGAATAGTTTATTGGCGCGTTTTACTGTGACAGACGCTATGCCAGGTCCTGAACGAAAACCCAGCACCCGTTAGAATGACGGAAAGATCAGCATCCCTAGCTTGTGACGGGATGTGGCCAGCCCGCCCTTCCGTCGATGGCTTACTACTATGCCTCAGTCCTGCTCAGCATCCTTGTCGGGGGCAGCGGCTGCCGTCTTAGCGGCCTTTGCCCCACCCTTGTTACTAGCTGTATGTAGGCTGTTAGCCACTGTTGAGCCTTCTGGCATGCCACTGCACCTACCATTTGGCCGCTGGTTTTGGATTGCGCGCGCCATGCGCCAACGGAACACGTCGTATCGCACCTCGGGAATGTGCTCGGCTTGCAGTTGAGCATTGACACGACTGTGCATCTCTTCGACATCATTTGCTTTCACTTCAGACCATTTGATCCCTGGGTTAGCCTTTACCAGTGTATCAATCTCGGCCTTGGTGATGTACTACCAGTTTAGATCAGCGTCTACTTCGTTGGAGTGAGAGCACTCTTCCATACATAGAACCTGTCCCATTGCAGCTGAGTGTAGCCCACCTTTTCCTGGGCTTCACGTGTTGTAGCGTTTTTCTTGAGCTCGAATGCCTGCATGACTTCTATGCGTGCGGCAAACTGACGTCTGTCCCGGTTTTGCAGATTCGAGAGGTTTGTTGGGATGGCGCGGGGCTTGTGCGGCTTGGTGGAGCCCGACTGGTCCGAGCTTGTTCGGCATTGATCGCCTGTGCGCCCCCCCAGCTGCGCGGCCGCCATCAAGCGCCACTCCTGCGTTAGCATTGTGGAACATTCAGACGTATTGAGTATGGCATGCTGGGCCTTGACGAATTGGAAGTCAGTTCGGTTAATTAAAGGTGGCATTGGCGTGGTGCGCAACCAACATCGGTTGGAGGTTGAGCCAGGTCTGGCTTGACCTTGGACCATGAAGGATGGGGGCTGACCATCTGCAATTGTGACTGTCTAAGCCTGATACTACACGCGCTCTGTGCGCAGTACTTGCGACAGGCAATGATCCCCTCATGTTGGCAACAGTCGAGAAGCCCCTGGTAAATCGGCACGCATTAGCCCTTTCATACTCACGTTCGATCCGAGACTGCTATTCTTTTCTCAGTAACCGAAAGGCCCGTATATAAGGGTTGACCTCTTGCATACTATAGAATTGAGCCATCGATCTTCTATATTCCTCTTTTGATGTATGAATCATGGTCCCAAGAGTCGCCAATGACGACGGCCTCCCATGGGTGGGGTCACATGCGAAAACCAAAGATGTCCAGAAAGCTTCAGGTTTGAATTCTGACCAGTGGAATTTGTTTGAGGTACTCGCTCTCTTCTCCTACTTTATTTTAGACGATGACGGAATTACCTAGAAACAAGCGAGGAAAGTAGCAAACCAGCTTTTGAAAGAAAAACCCCATGCCACCTGGTGTAGCTACAGTGAAAACGAAAAGAAAATGGCTGCTCAGATGATGAAAGAAACAATGAAAAATGCAACCCAGAAGCAGATTTCGGAAAGTATTGCTCGATGGAAGATTCAACGGACCATCTTCGTCAAAGTTCGTCAGGGAAAACAGAAAGCCAAAGAAAAGGAAAATGACGAACGAAACTTTGAAGTAGGGACAGCGGGTTAGAGAGACAATCCTGTCATCTAGGTTATGCTAACATCTTTCAGCTATCTATAATAGCACAAACCATCTTGACGTACAGCCGACCAAGGTCCCTACACCAAGTGAATTGCAAGACCCTATCCAAAGCATGTACTTTAACAGCACGATGGAATTAAGTAAGAAATTGAAGAATATCATTGAGATATGCTAAAACATGGCAGGTAGCAGCAAGATTGTAATGGATTTCGATGAGTCCGAATACCAAGATACAACGACCTCGGCCAGAGCATTCGACCCTATTAAGGACGCTGCAGCTAGGAACAAGCTGAACATCACGCGTTGATTTGAATGCCATTCAATCCCATGTCGGCATCTTCTTTGTCGTCTTCACTTCCGGTTACCTTGCCCACCAAGAGATCGTCGTCTGGGAAAAGCCATGGCTTATCTTGCTGGTCCTCAGGCTGTAATGGTTTTTTCGTGTCTGGATGCATTCGTGCTTGCCTGTGTGCTTCCAGGTATCTCGCCTTCTCTTTGTACTTGCTTTCCAACGTTACTAGAGTTCTATCTGCAAACTTTTTGCCAGTCAATTGAATAAATTCTGTTCTCGTTACCCAGTCGACAGTCTTGTCTGCGTACTCGACCTTTACATAAGCGTCTGGTCGACGCGACTTGGGTCCCGGTTTATAATTCTCTCCTCGAGACATTACCACACATGGACCAATTGCCGCAATTTTGTTCTCCTTCATTTCACTTTTCCTATTACGGAGATTGAAAGCTTGATGGGTACGTTCAGGTTCGTAGCTTTCGAGTGTCTCCGCACCGCCAGGACCTAAGTCGCTTCCTCGAACGACCCGGTAATGTTCCAAGTTTTCAGTGCCAGCGTGGAGGATGAATCGGCTGAATCTTGGGTTGCCAGTCTGACACGGTCTGACAGCGACTAACTTTCCAAACTCTGTCTTCCCATCGCTATAATCAGGCATCGTGATGACATCTAGTTCGCTGAGTTGCATAGAAAGGTAGTCTTTCTCGACAGGCTTTTTTGGTTTTGTTCTCGCTGGGCCGCTGCTGCTCTTGGAAGTTTCTGAAACTCCCGCAGACAGAGAGCCACCTTCACTAGAATCAGCTACAGAGCGTTCAGGAGGGCTTGGAGGGCTAGGACTCTTCTCCTCTTTCATCTTGTCTTCCCCCTGTGTAAGCAACTTTTGGTGAAGGTCTTTCGCAAGGGTCTGTGTTGCGAGTGTTTTGGTAAGATTGGTCCAGTTCTCAGCTAGTTCTCTCTCCTGGCCATCTATCCATTGTTGTTGCATCCTTTGTAAGAGAGCTATTGGTAGGCTATTTGTCGTAGTCTTGATCTCCAATTCCTCATTATGGGTTTCCAGAACCTTATTTTTGGACTCTATGAAACGAATTTGAGTCTGAAGCTGTTTTTCCCCATCAGAAGTATGGTCGTCTTTTCTCATCAATTGGAGGGCCTTCTCCATATGTGGTATCGCTACTGTCCACGCCTCCTCCTGCTCAGCAGTAGGTTTGTTCAATTCTGAAAGAGTTTCCGCATATTGTGCGCGTGTTGCTTCGCTTTTATTCACGATAGTGTCGAACATCTCTAGGGCGAGATTAGTAACTACGCATTGGGCTGGAATCTGGTATTTTTTCAAAGTCTCCGTGATGACCGCAACGCCTTTTACTAGCGAATTTTGCTCTTCATTAAGTGATTCTTTGTCTTCCTTAGTCCCGTTCGTCTCCATTTTCTGCACAGTAGAAAGGGCGGCAGCAGCTGTGCTGATCAAACCGTGTAATGTCTCGACTGGAAACTTGTACTCCTGGAACAGTTTCTTCTTCTCCCGGTCAATGTCCCCAGCATCACTGTAGTTCTCCTTAACAATGCTCTCGCATTCTTTCTCGATTCGGCCCTGAATTTTCTCAATTGATGTTTTCTGGGAAGGATTCAAGGCCTTTCCATGATCTCTCCACCAAGTCTTGACAGTTATGTATAGCTGGCGCCAGTGTCTTTCGATAGATGGAGGTCGCGAGGTATTGGATTCACCATGTCGTATCTTGCGGTTTTCTTCTCTACCTTGAGCAAGAAATCTCTCTCTCTCTGCCTTTTCTTTCCTTCTTTCCTCCTCGTTGTCTTCGTTCTCATCTCCTGATGAATCACCAGATGAATTTTCAGGGTCCTTTTCATCACTTTTCATAGGCTGACCATTATGATCCACAAATTCTGGAGCGTCAGATTTCCAGTTCATGTGATCAGGGTCGTTCTTGTGAGTAGCATCCATATCTGACTTCGAAGCAATTTTGCTTTCACTTTGATTGCTATGAGGAAGTCCACTTCCACTGGAGGCACTACTGCTCTCCTCACGCTGGGGCGGATCGTCTTCCCCGCCTTTATCTCTTCCATTCTCTTTCCCTCCACTCGCTCCAGCATCTGCTTTATTGATGTCAATTCGGGAATTCTCGGACATCATGTTCTCGAGATTCCTGCTAGCAACTACTGCCATGGCTGAGAAATCGTGTGTGAGTTGGTGCCCGTGAAGAGTACTATTTCGGTTATATCTGTTGGTTTATGTCAAGGCCTGCTTGAGTATAGTTCTTTTGTCTGGTCCTTAGATTCAGCGCAAGCCTAGTGTATATATATACTAGCCCTTAACATACGAAATACACGTTTTGGTCCCCAAAACCGGGCGAAATGGAATATGAAAGTCGATACTCGTTTGCTTTCTAGAAACGGGTTACGGCATTTCGGGATCAATTCCAAGGTGATTTCCGTCATAAGATCTATTATTAAGAAGATATAAAGGTCAAGGATCCGCTTGGTAAGGTTCCAGTCGCTCTTAGGAAAAACCTCTTCTTTCGCCTTAGCACTAGTCCAAGCAGGAGTCATGTTGTACTACATTATGCTATTTTGGATGACCGTCATTCACCAGGTGCTGGCAACTGGTGTAGCGAAGTCTTATCCTACATTAACACCTCACCTTCCATGGGCTGTGGAGACTTCACAGCCTTCGCGGACTATCGGTTCTGTCGGCTCTCAACCTCATATGCACTGGAGCACTGGTACCGCCCCACACTCGGACATAGCCCAGCCGACCGCTACCGTAGTTGTTGGTGATGAAGGGAAGCTGGTCTTCTCTCCTTCATACTTGAATGCTTCTATTGGCACTACCATCTCATTCAATTTTCTCGCACTCAACCATACGTTAACGCAGAGTCGGTTCCAGGACCCATGTGTAAGCAATGGAGGCTTTGATTCGGGCTTCCACCAATTCAATCCAAGTAACATTAGCGGCAAATTTGTGGTCGAATACAAAGTCACGAGCGACAACCCACAATGGTTCTTCTGTGCCCAGATAGCCCCGCGCGCACACTGCAAAGCAGGCATGGTGTTCAGTCTCAATCCCCGTGGTCTTCAATCTCAATTCCTTTTCCAAGCAATGGCAAAGACGACGTCGGCTACTCCATCACATGAGCAATCATCCGGCTTGCCAACACTGTCAACGGTTCCGATCGTTTCTGTTGCACCACCCATGGCCAATCGAACTGTACCCCTTCCAACGGATGTGAGACCAACCGCGTCATTGCCGGTATTCTCGAGCATTGGTAATAGCGTTGTTGCAAGTCGCGCGATGATGTGGTCGCTTTCTATAGTTATCGCAATGTTGTAGATAGTGCTCAAGTAAAGAAGAAATTCCAAATACTATATATTTCAACATTTGATTGTTTCCATGCTAGTGATATTTTGACGAGTATAGGCATTGCATAACGCACTTTAATGTAGAAAAAGCTAATTTTAGCTGACAACATCGATACGTTCGGCTGCTCATGGCACGGATACAAAAGTCAGTAACGGAAAACAGAATCTGGTGTCACTAAATTTAGAACAAAATCGCAGCTCCGACAAATGACAAACCGCTGGCTAATAATATTCAAGCTTTTCTTATCTCCGTCGGCTCAGCCTTATCTCAGAAAGCACTATGATTGGCCCATCAACCACCCCTCTTTTCAGTACAGCCCTATCATACCCTCTAGATAGACGCTTCTTCTCGCCCGATAATTGCCGTTGGCAGTCTTTGCTGTCGCCCTTCTTCAATTTAGCTACTGCTCGCAATCCTATTTGCTAACTATGGACACTCAATCGTTGAATTGCCTCTCTGTTCTACGCCGCTCTATTTGCCCTTTATCCTAATCTTGCTACCATTAAGATAAGGTAACCCACTTCGGGCTTTGCGAATGTGCAGGCTTGGTCGTGCACTGCCTAGTCATTTTCTGATCGCCCCATCGTACGTTTTTGAGGAGCTTATGTCTAAGACGGGCTATGGTTTTCTGCTTTGGCTCCGGACAAGGTGGTGGTAAGAATAAGGTTATTCCTAGTTCGTTCCTAGTGGCCCTTTCCACCTCAATGTTATATCGCGACAACAAACGCGACAACGTCTTAACATGGGGATAGAGGACATTCCCAGCGGCTTTGAGTCTCATGTTCTCTTCATCTTCACAATGTGCAAGAAGGCGCTTAATGACTCGCTCATCTGGAACCGAAAATCGAATAGAAGATTCGGTGTGTGGTATATACGCTGGATATCTTGGATAGAGTAGATCCATTCTGAGTGATTTATTGTCAAAATCAATCTGGCAAGTACAATATTTAATAGAGCAAGATGGAGTGGAGGATCTTTCAATAGAGTCGAATCGTGTCTGCGTTTACCGGTACCTGATTCAGGGCTCCAAAAACCGGACCCGAAAACAATCTTGTGCTAAAATTAGAGAGAAGCAAATCTATTCTCTATTCTTAAACATGGGATTCGCACCATTTTATCGTTGCACAATCCTCGCTAATACTATTCTTTGTTTCGCATCATGCTACTTCTACCATTCTTCCTGGCGGTTTCGCTCGCCCAAATCGTTCCATTCAATCCAATACTCCCAGTGCTCACAAGTCCATTAGTGCAAACAAAGGCCGAAGAAGAGCTCCACTATCAGTAAGTTGTCTTGTTCTCTGCACACACCACAACTCTGACCACACATAGACTGGTTAACGTTGGCAACACTACCTGCCAGGCTACCTTGACGTTTGATAATACGACATTCTTACCAATTTCTGCTATTGCGAATCCAAAAGAATGTGCAGGGAACCAGTTAGCTAAGTTTCGCATACCTGGGAGCGTCCCCAATGGGGCTGCAGCTATGGAATGGTGTTAAGAGTATCTCTTGAGTGGAAGTAATATAAGACTTCTGGTGTCAAGATTCTTAGGTTGGTTTTCGCGGATGAAGCAACAGGGTGTAAATGGATATGCCAGTTCAATAGTAGTATTGTACTCGTAACTAGAGATTGAACACAATGAACCATAAGGGTTCATTGCCTAGTGCTATATACCTATGGTGCTCGTGGTCCTCGTTCAGAGGAGCCCGAGGAATGCTCGGTGGCTGCTGCGCGAGGAGTATCCCTCTGTGGGTTATGTACGAGGATCACGCCAAGAACCTTCCTCGTGCATGCGGCACCGAGGAGGTCACGTGATTGGTGCCCCCGCGTTACATATGGCTAGCATTGTCAGGCTGTCATTGCTCCTTAACTTAACCGCCGTGCCTCCTTCCTTCAGGTTCGTAACAAATGGTAGTGACCCTTTCCATACCTAGTCCGTGTTCTCAACATTTCTGATAAGCGTAAATACAGGCAGTGTATAGGTATAGATGGAACTGCAGTGGATCTGATGGTCATCTCTGGAGGGTCTAGTGACCTAGAGCAATTCACTATTGATAGCAAGACGTTTGACATTGTAGTACAATGTTTTGCTAACACTACGACGCTGAAGTCGGCTCCATCTGTTACACCCTGCATGTAGATATCGAAATTGTATACATAGGTAAACATTAAATGATACGGCAAATTTCCGCCATACCACTGCTTGGCGTAATAATTTCCCATCTACCACCGTTTCAAATACACTACCACACACGTGACGTCAGCTTGTAAAATATCCCAAATGCCACTGTTTCTATCCCACATGCCACCATCTTATTAGTAGGGTTCGCACCTTCCCTAGACTCTTCAAGGCAGTAGGCAAAGCAGTTTTACACAAGAGTATGTATAACGTCGTTATTCTTGGTGTTAGGTGGTAGGGCTTCCTATTATCCGCGTCAGACTCAGCGCCTGGCTAAAACCGTAACGGTTCATAACGCGTCTGACGCGATTAAAGAGTCGACGCGTTCTAACGCGAGATTAACACAAAATCTAGCGACAATTGACTACGATGGCATCCTCCAGGGATTTACCTAGTCCTCTATTTATCGGACAGACATTCGCGTCAATTGATGAAGCAAAAGAGTCGGTTCTTCACGTTATGGTGACCCAGAGACTTTCATTTAAAGTAGCTGCCAGCGATCGGACGAGATTTCACGCTATCTGCCGCTCGAGCGAGGAAACTGGATGCAAATTCTTCCTCCGGATTGCTTATATGAATCGATCTGATCAATTTGAGCTTCGGAAATTGGTCCCTCACACCTGCGATCTTAGCTCCCATCAAGATTGGAAAGCATCAAGATCTGCAAAGCTCATTGCCCACCGACAAGGAGATATGGTTAAGAGCGATTTTCGGACGAGGCCACGCCAGATTCAGACTGCTGAAAGACTTCAGCACTTAAATCAGATATCGTACCTACAAGCGTGGCGCGCAAAGAAGGAGATCCAAAAGAGTGCCTTCATGGACAAGACGAAGTCCTTCCAGCTCATCCTTCCATTCCTTCGGACAATCACGGATAACGGGCTTGATATAGATATAGATGTGAACGACGAAGGAGACTATGCTACTTCGATGGCGAACGCTACTATTTCGACGGATAATGATGGATCCTTTGAATGGTGCTATGTAGCACCGAGGGCTTGTATTCATGCATTTTGGCACTCCCGACAGTTTATCTGTGTTGATGGTGCCCATATGAAGTCAGAAAAGAACATAGTTCTTCTTGTTCTTACAACACTTGACGCTAACGAGGAAATCCTACCATTAATGTGGGGATTCGCTAGAAACGAGTCTAAAGAATCGTGGCTCAGCTTTCTACAAGGTTTCAGAGAATACTTTCTCAACAACCTTGATACTACCGAGAAAGAACGAGACGATTTTGAGCATCTTACAATCGTTAGCGATCGAGCAAAAGGTCTAGTTCCAGCTGTTGCAGAGGCTTTACCAAAGGCTTTCCACTATCACTGCACGCAACATCTTGCAGAGAATGTTGGAAACGAATTTGGAAGAAAGGTTGAGAAGATATTCAGAGCTGCTTGTCTAGTCGAGACTAAGGCTAAATTTAAAGCCTTTTTGGATCAGATTGAGTCTCTTTCTGCTCCTGCGCGTCACTACCTGGATCAACTCGATGCAAAGCACTACGCAACATCACATGCACCACTAGTCGATTTCCCACGGTTTGGTCAAACTTGTTCTAATATATCCGAGTCGATAAATAGCGCATGGATGGTAAGTAAATTTGTTAGAAAGCCTATTGTTCTATTCCAACTAAGACCAAGCTATAGAAGGCCCGTGAGTTACCGATTTTCCATTCACTACATCATATATGGACATATATGATGTCGAAATTTTACGAAAGACGTCATAGCCCCCAGAAAGACGAGAAGTATACAAACTATGCTATGGCATATTTCCGGAAAGAGCTTGAGGAGAGTAACCAGTACCTTGTGACTCCTCAAGAGCGCGAGAATATGGTAGCTCTAGCATACCGAGCAAACCCAGGGGACCAGAATACTCGCCTCGTCCAGCTCAAAGCTCAGAAATGCTCCTGTCTCGCTTTCCAGGATCACAAAATTCCTTGTAGACATGCGATTGCCGTTTGTCGGTTCTTTAATACTAAACCCGAGAAGTATATTGCCAAGTTTTACGAGATATCTGAGTACCGTGAGCAGTATAGATACTCTCTGTTACCGGTTTTACTGGACGATCTCGAACCTGATGGAGTTACAAAGCCACCTCCTTATGCTCCCTCGCGAGGTCGTCCGGTCCAGAAAAGGATGAAGCGAAGGACCCGGGAGACAGAGGCCCGGAGACTTGGAAATCTAGCATCACCAAACTGTCGGAAGGAGCAACAGGATGAGGCTCGAAACCGATATCAATCAGGCGCAACATATTTCCAACAACACCCGGATGCTTCAAATCGTCCTGTTCAGATTACACCTATCCAGCGCTGTCCCGAACAGATTACATCTAATCAAGAGGCATCATCTCAACTTACTGATCAAACCGTGTCTACTCTATCTTTCATTTCCCAACCTCTAGAATCAAGAGAGCACGATACCTTGTGGCAACGGATCAGAGCTATACAAGCATCCCTTAAAGAAATCGAGGCAATAAGAGAGCGCCACCAGACTCAGCGAATTGGAGCTGCTAGGCAAGCAGTGAACGAGAACCGAAATAACGAAGACGGTCAACCTCCTACAGCACAGACATCTACAGCGGAAGCAGAACATTCAACCTTGCGGCTCACATCTCCTAAACCGCCAGTATTTCAGGCAATTTTAGATCAACAGCTACGGCTAGACGATGAACAGCGAAGTAGCAGCGGCTCTCAAGTAGATCTAGCCGCTTTACAAGTCACTTATATGGATTCTACTATTACGAACGATACTTTTACAATCGCGACATCTAGCTCTATTCCACATATCACCCATAATGTCACATCAAGTCCACCTAGTAGAGATAAAAGACCTATGGCGAGTAGAGAGAGTAGTGTCCAAAGCGAAGAGCCTCCAGCCCTATCAACGCGATCAAGAAAAAGAGCTCGAATAGGCCAATTGTGAGACTAGAAAGATTTAGATCTACTGTAAATCACAATTTTCAACCCTTCTCTTTGTATAAACTACTACTGCCTGTATCTACTATCTAAGAGCGTGTAGGGCAGCGTTTCTAAGGCTTATCGTAGTAGTGTTCGTCGATAAGTTAGTTCCATTGAGTCTAAACAGTCTGCTGTGAGGTTAAAGGCCGATAATAGATTATCAGAGAAGCAGTCCTTGTGGTCGGTTATGTTTGGAGTTTTGGGGAGAGGTTGCATAAACCCTATACCCTTCCCTTAGGGGCGTTAGATTCGCTATTTTTAAACCCCCTATAGGCGGCTAAGTGCCCGTTAGCTGAGGCTTTAAACGGTGGCATGTGGGATAGAAACAGTGGCATTTGGGATATTTTACAAGCTGACGTCACGTGTGTGGTAGTGTATTTGAAACGGTGGTAGATGGGA